GACGTTGCAGTTCTTCGTCATCATGAAAGTTTTTTATCAGTCTAAACTTCTGATATATGTACACATCCGAAGCACGTGCACAGAAAGCTGTCTGTCAGACGGCTTGTTGTGTGAGTATTAAACTAAGTTCTCCTTTACGTCTTAATGCACTTAAACTGTCAAATACACACGGTTATTTTAAAACTATAGTGAACAAAGTTCACAAACATAGTCGGTTATGTCTGTGAACGTAAACAGCAGGGAAATAAATCACATGTGTATATTAGATCTGTGTATTAAAGTGACAGGAGCATAATAGTATGCTGTTAATATGAAGCAAACAACAACAAAAAAACAGAAAATCACTCCCTGCTCTTGATTGAATAACTTTAGTAGCTTTAATAAGCATACATGTCTTACTTGAATACTGATGTTAAATGCTCTGGCGAGGAGATAAACATGGCGGACTGTACAGCTCACTGAGGGGCGGAGCTAAGATAATAGGGCGGAGTCCGTCACCAGTCGTGGGCGGGGCCTACGCATATGTGACGTCACATTGGAGTATATTCTTGAACAGCTCATTTTGAGACACTTTCAGATTCATCAAACGGAGTGGATGGACTTTTTTTATCACAATAGGTTGGTCGTGTACACACACTGCAGACACATTCACATGTTCAAAAACAATATAAAGTCAATTTTACATAATCTTTGGCATATTTGAAACGCCTCTCGGGCAGCTTTTCCAGTCATGCGAGTACAGCTCCTAACTCTTCGGATTGGGAAAACATTAAATTCTCTTACATTAAATTTCATATTTAAAATCACCAATGAAATCTGACATTTTGTTTCTAAAAGCTCAAATCATGACAAAAAACTGAATTTTTCAGGCTGGATGCGCATGTGCAGTCATAAGACGATTGACTTTACCGATTGATGATTGTATGTTTTATTTAGAAGGCGGGACTTATTCCGCCATATTACGCGTTGCACTCTCTCTCTTCATGAGTTTCTTTGTACCTAAAGTCTTTGGTATTGGCACTGAAGTGAACATGAATTGGTTATGTGAGGCCTAACATGTTACCTGCAACAGTCAGACTCTTTGCTTTCACAGCTGGCTTCGGGATGCAGGTGGGCTTGTTTTCTGCCAGTTGGGAAACCCCGGTGAGTCCCAAGATGAATGGCATACCTCTGCGGGAAGGTGGAAGGCTCTCTAATTGTGGGCGGGTGGATAATTCCTCTATTTTGAGGCATTTCCTAATCTATATATGAATGATGTTTGCTTTTATTTGTGGGGAACCAAATGGCCCCTTGCTGAAATAGAGATCTGATGTCAAATGGAGGTCTGACCACAGGATTTTCCAGAGAATAAGAGAAAACAGGACTCTTTCTGAGTCGAGCAGGTCTGAAAGCAGAGCGAAGGGAAGGAGCCGCAGAAAGAGTCGACCTCCAGGGGTCCTGGACCTGCTTGGGAAATAAATATCAATTTGACGAAAGATGTATGGCGTATTTAAATTTTTCGTTTACTAGGCAGTCATCACATATTTGCTATAACTGCATCAAAGCTCAGAAGCTCAGGTTTTATTTTTAGTAAAAAAGGTTGAGGAACTTTTAGTATTTCGAGTTTGGATGTTAAAAGTTACTAAGCAATTTTATCATGCTAATGTATAATGTGTAAGACTTGTGGCAATAGTTTCAAAAAACAGACTATGTTGAATAGTTGAATAGAATAGTTGTGTGTTTTTACATGCAAGAGTTTTGCGTATGTACATACATTATAAATGTCCAACTAACCACAGTTTCTGCTAGTTTTAAAAAGTCCAATTAATCTAGTGTGAATATATAGTAAAATGTAATTTATTCCTGCATTTTCAGCATCATTACTCCAGTCTTCAGTGTCACATGATCCTTCAGAAATCACTCTAATATGATGATTTGCCGCTCAAGAAACATTTATTATTATTATCAATGTTGAAAACAGTTGTGCTGCTTAATATTTTTGTGGAAAACCTGATACATTAAGGATTTGTTGATGAAAAAAAAAGTTCCAAAGAACTGCATTAATGTGAAATAGAATCTTTTGTAACATTATAAATGTTTTACTGTGACTTTTTCTAAATAAAAGTATTAATTTTTTATTTTATTTTTAAAGTGCCAAATATGCTGTCAATAGTGCTTAACGTATATTGAACCTGCAGCATTCCTACTCCCATAGAGGTCTGTGATGTGCTGGTCGTATATCTGAGTCAGAGACATTCCCTTGATAGCAGGCAGGAGATCAAGCACACTTCAAAGGGTTAACCTGATCCCTGAGCTCTGCTCAAGCACAAGAGGTTAACGTAACGTTCCCTCAACATCACCCTGAGACGTGAGGCGGTGTGGGAAAAATGTGCAGGCTGGCAGAGGTAAAGACAGCGAGGTCAAGCCCAGAGAAAGCGCAGAATCACCTTCTCCCACCCTCCAAAATGGCAATAATGCAACGAGTCTGAGGAGCTTTAGAAACAACTTTTATTTTAAAACTATAATGTCAACGTAAACATGACCTTCGACTCGAGGTTTTTCATGCAGTTATTGTTTCAATCTAGCGTAACAGCACTGGATAATAAACGTTATTTACATAGCAGTGAAGTAAAAACAGGCTTTTGTTGTACTTTTATGGCCACATGATTAAGAAACCGTCAATCATTCATTTCATTAGCGCGATCAGTGACGGTTAATTCTGTGCTGTAACGTACATCTCACGGGCCTTGAACACAGTGTACGATCACAAAATGATATTGCAAATTCACAAAACTTTATACATCTCAGAGGATCTGTGCTGGCGTCATCGTGAAAATGAAAGCTTTAGATGATATGGACATGATATATCAGTGTTTTTACTACAAACGTCACATGGACAAAAGGTTTCGTCATCGACACCAAAGTTCTCGTTGGCTCTTTACACAGATTATATTTATTTTCTTTACTAACAAACAAGAATCAAACACCAGGCAAGACATAAGACACATCGAAACACCAACACTGACTGATCCGAATCACTGAATCGTGCGAATCCTTGACACGTCACAAACACAGACTCATCATGTACACACACACAGAAAACCCGGAGCCGGATTCACCAAACATTCTTCTTCTTTTCTAACTTAAGAATAGAGTTAACAATATTTTGTATTCCCAAAGTTCTTACAAGTTTTCCAAAGACAAAACCTGAGAAATTGTTTAATTCCTCGTTCTCACGGATCCGCGAAAACGAGTAAAAATGAGTATTATTCACGCCGGGCCAGTAGTTGGCGATGTCACTTTGTAAAGAAACAAACGCGCATATACACTTCACCTTCTTATACTGTCTATGCACTTCACTAATTTGCATTTTAGTAGTTAGACGATAACGGTATAATTTTCAAAAACTTGCACTTTTAAACCCGTTTTCAAAAGTTTGTGTTTTCAGGCCCACTGTTGTAAAAACATTTTTTTTTTAAATAACCTTAAATAATTTAAACAAGATGCCAACATTTCTCAATTTTCTGTTGTACTAAACTACCTTAAACTGAAATAAAACTGAATAAAAAACAATAGATATATTTTAAACTAATAAAAATGACAGAAATGCAAGAAAAAACATACAACTTTAAAATTAAAATTAAAAATATATATATATATATAAAAACGAATTCAAAATATGAATGAAAACTATAATAGTAACTCAAGGAAACCCTCTAAGGATGTGCACGAGTAGCTCTCTAAAAGTAATACCACCAGTAATCGATAAACAATGATCGGTTATGATTAAGCATCATGAGGCTTTTTTCTGAATTTGAAATTCCACAAAGCGAGTCAAATAGGGACCTGATTTTTTATTTGTAATTACAGCATCATTTTCGGCAGCTTCAGCACATATGAGAGCGCCATAAGAATTGCACTTGGGAACATTCCTACGAATTTATCTGAAGAAATTTCGTAACCTCTTCCTTAAGCAGATTTTGGTGAATCCGGCCTCCAGACAACAGTAGAGAGCATTTCGTCTCAATCAGGTGCGATCGTGACAAGAACCGAGAAACCGAGCAGTTTTCATCGCAGCAATACGTGTTCATTTACTTTCGGCACTAAAATGTGGTGTGATTTCACAACACAGTGATTTCAAGACGTCATTTATCACGGTTTCTGCGCGTCACCCTTCAGACAGACACTGAAAAGAAAAGCTGGCCGCATCATTTCCTCATAGTCGACGACCCTTCACACGAGGCCGGCTGGACAAACAGCTGCTGTGCTACTGTTGCTTTAATGTGGGGGGTCAAATGAAGCTCTGTGGTCATTGCTTTTCTCCTTATTTAGCTTCACACACAACAACAACAACAACAACCACCGAGAAGGAAGATCACAGCAGAGACAGAGGTCAGAGGTCACATACAGTGTCACACTAACAGGGCGAACTCCGACTGAGTGAGTGAACATCCCAGACACACAGAACACAGACGAGCACATCTTCAAACCTGCTGACTTTCTCTTTCCGTTCAGTATCGGACTTCACTTTGATTCTTTCTTACCACTTTGTATCTCTCTTTTTCTTTGGTTGAACCTCAATTCAAGAATGTCCAGGTCACATTTCACCCCACAAACAAAAGAAATGGCATTTTGCTTAAAGTAAGTGGAACCTCGTTTTAGGTGAGATTTAAGATGCCAAATATTCATTACTGTAAAGCAAGACAAATGTCATTAATGTAATGGAAAATTGATGGTACATTAAAGTATTTTTTGCATCATGTAGTATTTGTTCTAAATATCTGCCTTTAATTTATGCTTAAATATTTATTTTTTTACTGTATTACAGTAATTATCTCCCAACTTCTTATTAAAATGTCATTTTAAAATCAATGTGCAAAAAAAATATATAATAGTTTAAAAAATGTAATTTTAAAAATAAGTCACAATGAAACATTTTAAGGCTTTATTGTCTTTAAGCAAAAATAAATTTATTTTTTAATATGACCTGGACATATTAACAATTTTCATGAGATTCAGCCCTTTCTTTCTTCATTTCTTTCTTTTTTTTTTCAAACATCAGTTTCCGTCATATTTTCAAGACGGCGTTCGGCGTCGCTTCGTTTGAGCGGAGCTGAAATCTCCTTCTGTTCTTCACCTGCATCTCTTCCGGTGCCCTTCTCTCTCATGTCCCCTCTTCCTTCCTCAATCTCTCCATCCTCGGGCTCCGTTTTCAGCCGGATCGCTCTGGGCTCGGTGTGTGTGTTTCTGAAGCTGCGGCTGCGGATGACTCCAGCAGGGGGCGATGTGATCTCTGGCTCTCTGTGCTCTTCCTCTTCCTCCTCCTCCTCCTCCTCCAGATGAGTGCTGGAGTTCCTCAGCTGCTCGATGGACTGAGACAGAACCTACAAAGAAACAGAGGAGTCTTATAATGCATCAATTACATCATTCGCAAAGCATCATGGGATGAGTAGTTCATTCCATTACATACACATTCAAGACTTTAGATACACAGTTTTGTATCATTTTTCCAGATTTTCGAACGGTTTAAAGCCTAATGGGGTTATTGATTTGATTCTTATGGAGAAAATAATTTGGAAAAGTACTTTCGGAACTTGAAACAGTGTCACAATTGCTATTCCAGCATTGAGTTCAGTTATGTGTCATCATAATTAATCAGAAGTGACACACTAACATGCTCTTTCATTCTTTTTGATATCTTCTAGTAAATGTGGTCAGAGCCGTCATAAAATCTGTCCGAACACGCCACCCGGTCTGGCTTCAGTCCTGCTGTAAAAGGGGAAAGTAATACCACCCCGAAAAAATAGCAGCTGTAAAAGTTTTGTGTAAAATGAAAAGTGGCTAAATTATATACGCGGATGCGTGTGTGTGTTAAAGTGCCGCCAGCGTCTGCCTGCAAAATCCTCTCCTAGGCCTTCAGGAAATGAAAGAAAGACTAAAATAAAGAACTGGGTGTATTACTGGGGTAAAAATAAAGCATTGTTTTGTTTTTTTACTACCCAGCTTAGCAAAATATACCGTTTTCATTACTGAATTACAGACAATTTTCCAAAATAAAATAAAATACAGCAATAAATAAATACATAAATACTTATAATAAAAAATCTTGAATGTTTGACTGTCTAAATGTTAAATGAGTTAAAAGCAGCTGCAGTAAAACATCCTGCTGGGACTTACACACTTCCTCTCCTTGTATTAACTCACTTCCTGTCTGAACGAGGCATCAGTCAGCTCCATTTACACAGTCATTTAAGAGAAAAGGACCCTTAAAACTCTTAATAGGAACACAGACACACTGCAGGGTCTCACACACACACACACACACACAGCACATACACACGCACACACACAGCACATACACACACACACACACACACACACACTCCAGATGACACTCGGGAATCTTGTGAAAATGCTGCAGTCCTTCACCGGCTCTGAAAGACACATTTATGTAACATAACTCCATCTATCATCATGTCATCACTCTCCTTCACTACATCCAGTGTGGGAATTAAAAGGACAACCAAAGTTTCACAACCGAAGGTGTATTTTGCCACTGTTAAGAAAACCTCAACTCATTTAAAGACATTTCAAACAAAACACTAAAGTCTTTTTTGGTATATTTAAGATCCTGTAAATCTGTTACAAAGTGATAAATCATGTCAGTGCTTTTGTTTTGATGATACTGTCCATTAAATGACCCTCAATCACCCGAGTTTAAAACACTCTTAATATTCAGTGATATTATTGATTTGACTGCACTGACACTACCAGACAGAACTGAATCGAGATGATGATGATGACAATATCGTCTCCTGTAGAGCTGCTTTATAGTGTTATTATATACCTGACCAATGTTTGCAACATCAACATGTTGTTATTGAGCTTTATAGCTAAAATGAACTTGTTTCATAATTAATGAACCCTACACTGTTATTGAACTAAACTAAATCAACACTGAACTGACTCGAGCTGAATAATAACACTATTGTCATATAATAAGAGCTTCTAATAAGCATTTAATGAGTTAATTTTGACTCCGATTTGATTTTCCTGTTTATTAGTGTGCAGCTGCTTTGAAACAATCTGTATTGTATACAGCGCTATAGAAATAAAGACTATACTTAAAGCACTCACTGCTTCCCATTTATTTGAGTCCACGTGAAAATATGTACAAAAATGAAAAGTTTCTCATGCATGTAGAATGTTTTCGTATTTTTTAAGACCCAAACTTTTACTGTGGGGTTTGATGCATTGGTTATGTGTGTGTTGTGAAGTCACCTGGCTGATGTGAACCTGTTGGTGAAACTGTTTCTGCTTCTCCACGAAGTTGTGGTGTTGTTGCTGCAGCACGAGCTGGGCCAGAGCGCTCTGTGGTAGCGGTGCCGACTGCGTGCGGTTCAGGGGTCGGTGTCGCGGTAACCTGACGCGAGCGCCCGCCGACGCACGCTCCTTCATCGCCAGAGGAGACGAGGACAGCACGGGGACGCTGCCTGTGACTGGACAGACAGAGATCAAACATGAGCCGCACCGAACGAGTTTATCCATTCCACCGCGCTACTTTTCCATTGTTTTTCAATGTAAACGCGCTTTAACCGTTGCGCTTGCATTTTTAGCAGTGTGTCTCAAGTTAAAATGAGTTCAACTTTTAAAAAAACGCAACAACTATTAAAGTCCCCCTGTAGTCAATCATTATACCCCATAAAACTCATCTTTGATCACCAAAATGACATATTTAAAAGTTTTTTCCTTGAAAAATGCCTTAAAATAGCTTGAATGTAACTCGACACCCTTGCCTCATTTAGTATAGGTTCTATGAATATGCAAATGAGCCCCGCCTCCACTCACTCGCTCAGCTCAGAGATCCACTGGTTGACGATCACACGTTGATCTGATTGGTTACAAGGTCGTTTGTGAAACACCAGCGATTTCAAACCGTGTTTTTGAGACTGTCTTTGGATCACTGCAGCTTTAAAGGGATAGTTCACTTTGAAATTATTTTTTGGTATGTTTTAGCTTACCTCAAGGGCATCCAAGATGTAGGTGTCTTTGTTTCCGCTGTAGTTTCAATTTTGATATTTTTAGGTCAAAGCGTTCTTGTCTGTCAGTCATATAATGCAGGTCTATGGTCACCACCTCAAAGAGCATGCACAGAGAAGTCCAAATTAAACATGATTTAATGACTCGTAAATGTAAGTACACATTGATGGCCTAAGACACGAAACGAGCGGTTTGTGTGAGAAAACGAACAGTATTTATATCGTTTTTACCTCTTGTAAACACAGCCACGTCCAAGTGATCTGAGGGCGCCGGCGCTTCGGTCTTTTCCGGAAAGCGCCGGAAGTGATCTCACGCGCGTGTACGTCACTCATTGTTTACACAGAACAGAGATTGTAGGTAAGACGGCTAATTAAAATGGTACTAATTTGCGCTTATCCGGGATGTTTAAACCGTCGTAAAAGAAAACAATAAAATTTTTTTAAAAATAAAACAATTGTATGAGTGACGTACACGCGCCCTCAGATCACTTGGACGTGGCTGTGTTTACAAGAGGTAAAAACGATATAAATACTGTTAGTTTTCTCACACAAACCGCTCGTTTCGTGTCTTAGGCCATCAATGTGCATTTACATTTACGAGTCATTAAATCATGTTTAATTTGGACTTCTCTGTGCATGCTCTTTGAGGTGGTGACCATAGACCTGCATTATATGACTGACAGACGAGAACGGTTTGACCTAAAAATATCAAAATTGAAACTACTGCGGAAACAAAGACACCTACATCTTGGATGCCATTGAGGTAAGCTAAAACATACCAAAAATGTATGTCAAAGTGAACTATCCCTTTAAGGAGAAAATACTCAGCAATGCTGTCGACTTATGAACTTGCACATGGTTTGTCTTAAAGCATATTAAAAACACCACAAAGACATATAAACAATATTAAAAACTTGATTTTCACCACAGGGGGACTTTAAAGGGCCAATCACATTAAGTATTAGTTTTAATTTAGATTTTAGTTTTAGTGATTTTGTGAGTTTTTCTATTCAGTCTATAGCGGATGTGTGCTGTTGTGCAGTTGCTGTGAGATCGGCTCACCAGGCGAGATCATCCTCTGCTGTCTCTGCTCCTTCAGAAGCAGGTGTTGCAGGAGCGCTTGCTGTCCGTTGCTCACTTTACCCTCCAGCGAGACGGGACACGCGGCCAGACCTTCTGTGCTCCGGTCCTTCAGCGCCGTACCCGTCTAACAGAGGAGAGATCAGGCAAACGCTGTTCATACTCCAGGTCAAATCAGCTCACCTGTGTTTATGTAGCGCTAAACACACTGCTAAAGCATTAATTCGTAGAACCGTTGCAACCAATGGACTACGATCAACTTAACTCACGATGCGTTTGAGAAACGCAGCCCAGATTGTTTCAAAGCAGCTTCACAGTAATAGACTCGATGATGCAAACTTTTAGTTTAGTAAAGATGCAACGGATCAAAGCACACAAAAAGGGCAAGAGTGTTATTGAAGACAATTTTTTAGGTACAATTACTAGTCATACACTGTCGACTTTTTCCACCTTTGTTACTTGGCTTGCTTAGTTGGGGACATTCAATTTAACATTTCATTTAATATTCAACAATAACATTGATCTGCCTGCATTGACACTATTATATAAACACTGAACTGAGCTGGACGATGACATCCCGGTTTACTCCATATATATATAAATTAACTAAATTAATAACTTTTTTTTAAATCAAAAATGAAACTTCACTGAACTTACTTAAGCTGGATTGACGCTATTTTCTTCTGGATACAAACTTTTTACCAATTTTTCCTGTTATCTCTGTAAAGCTGCTTTGAAACAATCTGTATTGTAAAAAGCGCTATATAAATAGACTTGACTTGTTATTATTCATGGTCAATTATTTTGTCAATTGTGAAACAAAGTGGATTCGGCTATAAGCAGCTCTACAGAGGTGTCATAATTCACCTTAATTCAGTTCATCCGATAGTGTCAGTGCAGTCAAATAATAATGATATCACTGCATATTAAGAGTCTTTTAAACTTCATCTAGGGAAGCCAAATGTGCTCTAAATCATAAAACATTCCCCTACTTTTGCATTTAAAGACAAATTCTCACTCAAGCATGAGAGAGTTACATAATGCCTCATGCAAATGAAACATTAATAACTGTGCTCTTTTTAAAACACATCCAGTCAGCATTCGCGTCCATAAGGTGCGCGTAATTACCGAGCTGCATATAGAGCTCCCTCGTGAGTCATTCAACTATCTTAAAATGTGAAAGTGTTGAAAGTATTCTCGTCTCGATGGTAAAAGCGATCCGTGTTTTGATTTGTTGGCATGTTACGCGCTTTCCGAACACAATTTCTTGAGCTTTTTAACAGCCCGTGATGAACGAGATGCTAAACTCTAAAACTCTGAAACCCTAAACCGAGCGGCGTATTTACCCAAGGGCTAAAGATCCCAGGGGTCAGAGGTCACGAGCCCTCAGGGCTGTACATTAATCCAGCCGGGACTGAACACTAGCACTCAGTGAAAGCAGAAAACGAGATCTGCACCTAAACCTTCAGCAAACAACACACATCTCTCTAAAAACACGGCTGATGTCTGCGCTCTGTAAAGACGATCGCTGCCTCCTAATGCAGCCGCCACATTCCTCATACAGGGTTTTGCGCTTTCTCCGCAAATAGATGCGACTCTGTGTCTCACTGTCTCCTAAAAATACCGTCTCACAGTCCCTTGCTCTTTCTGCAAGATCTATTCATATCTGTTGCGCAGCAGAACGAGAGCTGGCGACGCTGTTTTTGTGTTTATTCCCAGAGGAAAGCCGTATTTCTCAGAGGTCGCTCTTTCAAAGCTTGTCTCGTTTAAGAATCAACAGTGTCTCAGATGTTTCTATAAATTGAAAGAGACAATAATTTGCCAATAAAAAAGTCTCTGACTTTTGACTGCACACTTTTGTATCTTGGCCAATATTATTCTTCCTGAGTATTTTTTACAAATTTTCTAAAATATGAAATATTCTATTCTTTTAAAATTCTTAAAGCAAGATAGATTTACTGAAGAATGAAAATGACAAGATATTAAGTCTTGTTTTAAAAAAAAAATGACAATAATCAAAATTCTGACCACACTGACATACTTTTTCATGTTTTAAGCATAAAGAAATATTCCATTCTTTGATGCACAAAAGCATTAAATCTTTTTTTTTTTTTTTTTTTTAAATAACACTAAATATCTTAAGTCAATTTGCTTCTCAAGTATATATTGATTTAAGAATGTTATGTTATGATACCGGAAAACAAGATAAAAATACTGAATAAGAAAATATTTTTTTGCAATATGTCGAGATATCTAGAAAAGATTACTGAGGAAAAATCTAAGAATCAAACAGTCTCCATTTGCCTTCCATCTAATCTCATCGATCTCAAAGAGAAACAAATGACATATTAAAGGGGACCTATAATGCTCTTGATTTTGTTTTTGGTCTCTGCTAGAATAGGTTTACATGCTTGAATGATCAAAAAACAAAAACAAAAACTGCAGCTTCTGTCCTCAGTCTGTCAGTAACGCTCTTTTTACTTCCTGTATCTATTAAGCCCCGCCTTCTGACAAGCCCAGTGTGCTCTGATTGGTCGGTTGGACCAGTGTATTGTGATTGGTCAGTCAACGCCCCTTTACCATAACCGTGAGTTTCAACACACTACTAACTAACTCAACCAAGCCCCGCCCCTTTATTCTGCATATGCCTTGGGTGGGAATTATTTAAATAAAAGTAATATTGACACGTGTTCGTTCCCGGAGAAAAAATTCACTGTCTTTGCATATGTATCTTCACAGGGTTTGACCTCGTCGTTCATGCGTGTCTGTGATGCGCAGGAACTTACGCAGAGGTGTGCGTGAGCCGGGTGCAGAGCCAGCGTGAGGTTGGGCAGAGAGGGGGACGTGTAGAGGTTCAACAGGGACAGGGATCCATCCGTCTGTAGGACGCCGCTCTGAGACAGACACCGCTGGAGGAGACAGACAGACAGACAGCGTTACATCACCTCTTATATACAGTAGTGCAGCGTCACACACAGAAACAATAGTACAGTATGAGATTGTGCTTCGTTTAAAAAATCTGAATATGGTTCCACTGTCACATAACTACCAGTCTGCAGTGTCAATGATGCACAACCTCTCGTAAGCGTTCAGAGGGATGTGTTTGTATGTGTGTGTGTACCTACTTAACTATATTTTTGGGACAAATTTGTACCAAGAAGTGACCAAACCCTGACAAAATCTCCAAAAACCTCCCTTCATTTGTAAATCTGGTATAAAAATGAAGTAATTAAAAAGTAATTTTTAATTAGTAATTTGAAGTAATTTTTTAAAAATGTAAATATGCATACAAGTTTTGTGTAATGGATAGGTTTAGGGGTCGGGTTAGTGTAAGGGGATAGAATAAAAAGTTTGTACAGTATAAAAACCATTACGTCTATGGAATGTCCCCATTTAGATAGCTAGGTAAACGTGTGTGTGTGCGTGCATGTGTGTGTGTGTGACGTATTCCACCATCACAGCCAACATACAACTATAAAGGTCAATTCACACTGCACCGACAGACACAGACCATCGCCAGCCAGATTACAGCACGTCACTTCTCAGACATTGTAACTTCGATTCAGCATTTTCAATCAGCGAAAACAAGCTCCGACAGACGCCAACAGACTTCGACAGGTGTAACACACTGATCCGACAAAACCCGACGAAGTATCTATTGGCGTCTGTCTGTGGTTGCTAGGGTGTTCTGTATATTCCCTAATGTTTGCTAGGGTTGCTAGGGTGTTATATGTACTTGCTAGTGTGTTGTGAATGGTTTTTAGTGTGCTTCTATGCAGTTCTAAATTGTTGCTAGAATGCTCTGAATGTTCTCTAGTGGTTGCTAGTGTTCTAAATGTCCTGTAGTAGTAGCTATGGTGTTGCTAGGTTGTTCTATGTGCTTACTAGGGTGTTGTGAATGGTTTTTAGTGTGCTTCTATGCAGTTCTGGATATGTTCTCTAGTGGTTGCTAGGGTGTTCTGAATATTCCCTAGTGGTTGCTAGGGTGAACTGAAATTCCACTAGTGGTTGCTAGGGTGTACTGAAATTCCACTAGTGGTTGCTAGGGTGTTGCTAGGGTGTTATATGTGCTTGCCCGGGTGTTGTGAATGTTTTAGTGTGCTTCTATGCAGTTCTGGAAGGTTGCTAGAGTGTTCTAAATGTTCTCTAGTGGTTGCTTGGTTGTTGCTAGGTGTTTTCTAGTGTTATGGGTATTTACTTCTGCACCTTGTCAATAAATATCAGCTAACAGTGTGTGTGTGTGTGTGTGTTAATGATGTGATGTCATCTTTAGGTCATGAATCTCATGATCACACACCCTCACTAACGACCGGCTGTAGGTTTAGTCGTCTCTCGTGTGAGGAGGAACTCAATAGGCTGTGCCTACAGGAGGAGAGTGTGTACAGGGGGAGAGTGTGTGCCTACAGGAGGAGAGTGTGTACAGGAGGAGAGTGTGTACAGGAGGAGAGTGTGTACAGGGGGATAGTGTGTGCCTACAGGAGGAGAGTGTGTACAGGAGGAGAGTGTGTACAGGGGGAGAGTGTGTGACTACAGGAGGAGAGTGTGTACAGGAGGAGAGTGTGTACAGGGGGAGAGTGTGTGACTACAGGAGGAGAGTGTGTACAGGAGGAGAGTGTGTACAGGAGGAGAGTGTGTACAGGAGGAGAGTGTGTACAGGGGGATAGTGTGTACAGGAGGAGAGTGTGTACAGGAGGAGAGTGTGTACAGGGGGATAGTGTGTACAGGAGGAGAGTGTGTACAGGAGGAGAGTGTGTACAGGAGGAGAGTGTGTACAGGAGGAGAGTGTGTACAGGGGGATAGTGTGTGCCTACAGGAGGAGAGTGTGTACAGGAGGAGAGTGTGTACAGGGGGAGAGTGTGTGACTACAGGAGGAGAGTGTGTACAAGAGGAAAGTGTGTGTGTGTACAGGAGGAGAGTGTGTACAGAAGTAGAGTGTGTACAGGAGGAGAGTGTGTACCAACAGGAGGAGAGTGTGTACAGGAGGAGAGTGTGTGCCTACATGAGGAGAGTGTGTACAGGAGGAGAGTGTGTGCCTACAGGGGGAGAGTGTGTGCCTACAGGAGGAGAGTGTGTACAGGAGGAGAGTGTGTGCCTACAGGGGGAGAGTGTGTGCCTACAGGAGGAGAGTGTGTACAGGAGGAGAGTGTGTACAGGAGGAGAGTGTGTACAGGAGTAGAGTGTGTACAGGAGGAGAGTGTGTACAGGAGTAGAGTGTGTACAGGAGGAGAGTGTGTGCCAACAGGAGGAGAGTGTGTACAGGAGGAGAGTGTGTACAGGAGTAGAGTGTGTACAGGAGGAGAGTGTGTACAGGAGGAGAGTGTGTACAGGAGTAGAGTGTGTACAGGAGGAGAGTGTGTACAGGAGGAGAGAGTGTACAGGAGTAGAGTGTGTACAGGAGGAGAGAGTGTACAGGAGTAGAGTGTGTACAGGAGGAGAGTGTGTACCAACAGGAGGAGAGTGTGTGCCTACAGAAGGAGAGTGTGTACCAACAGGAGGAGAGTGTGTGCCTACAGAAGGAGAGTGTGTACAAGAGGAAAGTGTGTGAGTGTACAGGAGGAGAGTGTGTGCAGGAGTAGAGTGTGTACAGGAGGAGAGTGTGTACAGGAGGAGAGTGTGTACAGGAGTAGAGTGTGTACAGGAGGAGAGTGTGTGCCTACAGGAGTAGAGTGTGTACAGGAGTAGAGTGTGTACAGGAGGAGAGTGTGTACAGGAGGAGAGTGTGTACAGGAGGAGAGTGTGTACAGGAGGAGAGTGTGTACAGGAGTAGAGTGTGTACAGGAGGAGAGTGTGTACAGGAGGAGAGTGTGTACAGGAGGAGAGAGTGTACAGGAGTAGAGTGTGTACAGGAGGAGAGTGTGTACCAACAGGAGGAGAGTGTGTGCCTACAGAAGGAGAGTGTGTACCAACAGGAGGAGAGTGTGTGCCTACAGAAGGAGAGTGTGTACAAGAGGAAAGTGTGTGAGTGTACAGGAGGAGAGTGTGTGCAGGAGTAGAGTGTGTGCCTACAGGAGGAGAGTGTGTACAGGAGGAGAGTGTGTACAGGAGGAGAGTGTGTGCCTACAGGAGTAGAGTGTGTACAGGAGGAGAGTGTGTACAGGAGGAGAGTGTGTGCCTACAGGAGTAGAGTGTGTACAGGAGGAGAGTGTGTACAGGAGGAGAGTGTGTGCCTACAGGAGTAGAGTGTGTACAGGAGGAGAGTGTGTACAGGAGGAGAGTGTGTGCCTACAGGAGGAGAGTGTGTACAGGAGGAGAGTGTGTACAGGAGGAGAGTGTGTGCCTACAGGAGTAGAGTGTGTACAGGAGGAGAGTGTGTACAGGAGGAGAGTGTGTACAGGAGGAGAGTGTGTACAGGAGGAGAGTGTGTACAGGAGGAGAGTGTGTACAGGAGTAGAGTGTGTACAGGAGGAGAGTGTGTACAGGAGGAGAGTGTGTACAGGAGGAGAGTGTGTGCAGGAGGAGAGTGTGTGCCTACAGGAGGAGAGTGTGTACAGGAGGAGAGTGTGTACAGGAGGAGAGTGTGTACAGAAGGAGAGTGTGTACAGGAGGAGAGTGTGTGCCTACAGGAGGAGAGTGTGTACAGGAGGAGAGTGTGTACAGGAGTAGAGTGTGTACAGGAGGAGAGTGTGTACAGGAGGAGAGTGTGTACAGAAGGAGAGTGTGTACAGGAGGAGAGTGTGTGCCTACAGGAGGAGAGTGTGTACAGGAGGAGAGTGTGTACAGGAGGAGAGTGTGTGCCTACAGGAGTAGAGTGTGTACAGGAGTAGAGTGTGCCAACAGGAGGAGAGTGTGTACAGGAGGAGAGTGTGTACAGGAGGAGAGTGTGTGCAGGAGGAGAGTGTGTGCCTACAGGAGGAGAGTGTGTACAGGAGGAGAGTGTGTACAGGAGGAGAGTGTGTACAGAAGGAGAGTGTGTACAGGAGGAGAGTGTGTGCCTACAGGAGGAGAGTGTGTACAGGAGGAGAGTGTGTACAGGAGTAGAGTGTGTACAGGAGGAGAGTGTGTACAGGAGGAGAGTGTGTACAGAAGGAGAGTGTGTACAGGAGGAGAGTGTGTGCCTACAGGAGGAGAGTGTGCCAACAGGAGGAGAGTGTGTACAGGAGTAGAGTGTGTACAGGAGGAGAGTGTGTGCCAACAGGAGGAGAGTGTGTGCCTACAGAAGGAGAGTGTGTACAAGAGGAAAGTGTGTGAGTGTACAGGAGGAGAGTGTGTGCAGGAGTAGAGTGTGTACAGGAGGAGAGTGTGTACAGGAGGAGAGAGTGTACAGGAGTAGAGTGTGTACAGGAGGAGAGTGTGTACCAACAGGAGGAGAGTGTGTGCCTACAGAAGGAGAGTGTGTACAAGAGGAAAGTGTGTGAGTGTACAGGAGGAGAGTGTGTGCAGGAGTAGAGTGTGTACAGGAGGAGAGTGTGTGCCTACAGGAGGAGAGTGTGTACAGGAGGAGAGTGTGTACAGGAGGAGAGTGTGTGCCTACAGAAGGAGAGTGTGTACAAGAGGAAAGTGTGTGAGTGTACAGGAGGAGAGTGTGTGCAGGAGTAGAGTGTGTACAGGAGGAGAGTGTGTACCAACAGGAGGAGAGTGTGTGCCTACAGAAGGAGAGTGTGTACAAGAGGAAAGTGTGTGAGTGTACAGGAGGAGAGTGTGTGCAGGAGGAGAGTGTGTGCAGGAGGAGAGTGTGTACAGGAGGAGAGTGTGTGCCTACAGGAGGAGAGTGTGTACAGGAGGAGAGTGTGTACAGGAGGAGAGTGTGTGCCTACAGGAGGAGAGTGTGTACAGGAGGAGAGTGTGTGCCTACAGGAGGAGAGTGTGTACAGGAGGAGAGTGTGTACAGGAGGAGAGTGTGTACAGGAGGAGAGTGTGTGTGTACAGGAGGAGAGTACGCTGGCCCGCTGCCCATGAGGAAATGCTTGGGAAGAACTTCACAGGAGAAATAAACCTCACCATCCCGGAGCCCCTCACCCCTTCCCCAAACGCCAGCGCAGCCAGAAACCACAGCGGAAAAGAGCTGTCACAGTTAGTTCAGCACAGCACTGCCACACACACACACACACACACACACACTTACACACACTTACGCACACACACACTTACACACACACACACACACACACTTACACACACACACACACACACACACACACACACACACACATAATCACACCTTCAAACTTCTTAGAACTGTGGTTTGATGTGTTTGTTTGTCAGGCTGATGGTACGAGCGTCCCGGGACGGGGTCTGTGTACGCTCAGCTCCAAACAACCAATCATTCGGGGGGCCCGACTCATTCACCTCATAGTCTGATAAGAGTAATGAGTCACAGGACTATAATGGAGGATTTTATTTAGTTTCAGTTTTTGGGGTCTATGGTTCAGTTCCCAAAAATGCAATCATGGACTGAAAACTGCACGCAAGTGCATGAAAACCCGTTCCACAGCTGCCTCTGTGTGCTGGAGGGGATTACCTGTGAGTTTAAAGAGAGGGCTGCTACGTAAATGTAAGAATGGCATTGCATTAAATATAACAAAGCAAATGGCAATTATTTTGAGAGAAAAGAAAAACATCACAAATCCACATTACAAGCAAAACATTCCACAAAAAAACACTGAGAAAAGCTTTGATATCTGTATCAATATATCAATATCTGATTGCAGATTTGCCACTTGCTTTGATACGTTGTTTTCCAATGCAATGATATTCAGACATTTTTCTTAATAATTGCATCCCACAAGTATTGTTAGTCATTTCCCATGTGAAGAGGTTACCGGTAGTCATAATAAAGCCATTAAAAGTAAAAAAAAATTATGCAGTACTCGAAAAGTTTTGGTACCTCAATTTGGCTGGTGCTGGATCGGTATGATGCTCCGTTCTCATTGCTGCACAAGCCAATGGGTGAGCTCGGTCCAGAACCTACAGGGCTCTCATTGGCTGAAGAATCTAGACAAGAGGAAAACAGGAAGTATGGACTGTGATCTCCGGCCACAGCTGAAGCTCATTGGTCTGTATATCAAACATCAAAATCTCTCTTCACATAGTTTGCTACTGATTGCTCAAGCTACTGTTGTTCGCTCACCTGTTAGTTCTAAAGTACGTTTTTTCATCGGCGTGACGAGAACGCTGCCGTCTCTGCGGCGTATCGGTCCACTTCTTCTCTCAGAAACCTTCTGCTTGAGTCTGGACCGGACCTTCAGATTGGGCTCAGATGCTGAGAGGAAAGAGGAAGCAGATTACATTAGTTATTTCTGCCAGGCCGATTACTTATCTCTAATTATCTGATATTAACAAGAGTTCTAGTTCTAAAATCTACTGTTCTCAGTGGATAATAAACAATGTCTTTATACATTTTTGAATAGATACATGTCAAATGTAAAGTGCCCCATTATGCTTTTTCAAATATTACTTTTCATGCAGTGTGTAATCGAGCTGTTTGTGCATGTAAAAGGCGTTTTGGTTTCCGACAAGCTGTAAGCAGTCGACCAATCACAACAGACTGGACCTTCTGACCAATCAGAGCAGAGCAGACTCTCTGAAAGGCGGGGCTTAGAGAGACCAAATCCTTGATGAACCGTTTCAGACACTGTGAGAAAAGAGCTGATGCTGCAAAGTATATTATGAGTGTTTTTTTATCCTGCATGCATAAACCCAAAACGAAATTAGGAACCTTTAAAATAGCTTTAAATTCAATGTCACTTCATTTTCACATAAATACATGTACAAGTGGTCTGACGAGGCAGCTCACAGAACCAGCTGAGTGAATGTGTGGCCGCGGTCCAGCCACACTGAGGAATTCTGGGATGTCTCCCAGCTGTAATGAGGTAAGAACTGGAAGATCAATTCCATCGTTCATCTGGAGGACATTAAATCTGTCCAACAGCTCTCCGCTGGCTGTAGGAGTCCAGTACCTGCCAGCCTGCCGACCACAAACCTCTACGGTAGCCATGTTTAAACTAACACAGAGATATCGGCACAGGGAGAGGGAGATTTGGCTTGGAAAAAAAGGGGAAATCCTATTTTTTTGCACCACTGTGACCTATGGAGTACCAAAATTCCCTGGATTTTACTCAGGCTAGCCCTATAGACGCCACCTACCACCGTCTGACCGCTGAGTGGGCATCAAAGATACACACATCAGGAGACCGACATGATTACAACACACTGTGGGCTGAGGACAGAGATGAAAGGAGAGGAGGAATTTGAAACACACACACACACACACAATTGCAAAGACTTAATAATAAATTAAATGTATAATAATGTATGCATAATAATAAATGTATAACAAAACAATGAAACTGAAATAAATATAATTGTATTTATAATAAAAAATAAAATAATACATAAAATAATAAAATAAAATTTAAATTAAACATATTTATAATAAAAATATAATACAAAATTATAACAAAACAATATATAATTAAAATAATGTATGTATAATAATAAATGTATAACAAAATAATGAAACTGAAATAAATATAATTGTATTTATAATAAAAAATAGAATACATAAAATAATAAAATAAAATTTAAATTAAACATATTTATAATAAAAATATAATACAAAATTATAACAAAATAATATTTAATTCAAATTCAAATTAAATATAATTGTATTTGTAAAAAATTAAAATAATAAATAATAAAATAAAATTTAAATTAAATATAATATAATTGTATTTATAATAAATTAAAAACATAAAACGAATAATAACATTTAAATTAAATATAATTATATTTATAACAAAAATTACATAAATATTTAATAAAAAATTAAATAGAAATTAAATATAATTGTATTTATAATTAAAATAAAATGCAAAATTATAACAAAATAATATAAAATTTTAATTAAATATAATTGTATTTATATAATTAAAATAAAATGACTACATCCTACCCCTAAAAGGTAAACTGTTGACAAAAACAAATGTTCCTTTGAATATTATAAATTAATTAATTGTGGGTTTTGTCAGACTTGCCTATAGCCTACTTTTGGGGATAAATAGTGAACATACGCACAGACAACTTAAACGTGAGGCATTTTGAATGTGTTTGGCTATACAATCATGCATATAGTTTAAGGATACAATACAACTGATTTCCAGTAGGAACTAAGTTTTGAGTTTTCGAAGTTTTTACCAACACTGTAAGCCTACAGTCCTATGGCTGTCGTTCGGGAAAAACCCAACAGGTCATATTTGGCTGGTAACCCAAAAAAATGTTACAAGCAATTTAAGAGCCCCACATTGATTAATAAAATGGAAGACGGCTGACAAAAAAAAAGTCTGATCATAATGAAACGGATGCTTTGAGTTTCAGGAGCACTGGGCCGAGATCAGAGATTACGGCAATGGCGAAATACTGTAATTTACCCTCTCTGACACATGATGAATAAGAGCTATTAGAAAAATACCGCAAAAATATTTGCCCAGCAATTAGCGGGAAGGATTTACACATTTTTAATTCGTTGGGAAAATACGCAGAGCGGTCGGCATGTTTACGTTGGGCCGCGTCATTAAAGGGCACTTTCAGTGTAGCCCGACTCAAGCTTCCTTAAACAAACACCTGTGGGACGGGGTTACATGGCATGAGCGGGTGACAGCTGGAGGGGTCCGTCCACCAAACGCATGTGCACCTGTGAGGCTTGTTTAGCTGCCGCTGACCAGTTCCATATGGCGGGAGGAATGAGAACGTACACACCACCTACATTACCAGTGCTAACAAACCAGCACACCCTGTTAACCGCTACACCTCGCAACAGAGCACTCAATCCATGTGAACTACAGTTCCCACCAAAATACCCTAGTCACTACAGTTATTGCTCCGACTGTGAAATTGTAAAGATCTGAATTAAAACAGTGTATTTAATTTAAAGCCACTGGTGGCTGATACCAAATTTATAGTAGTAATGTTAAAAACTTTTTTTTTTCTTTTTTAAAAAAAATATGTTTGAATAAAATGTAAGTGGTTCTTGCCCATGCAAAACTTACCGCCATGATGCTATGATGGTTGCCAGGGTGTTGCTATGTGGTTGTTATGGTGTTCTAGATGGTTCCTTGATCGGTGTTAGAATGTTCTGTGTGGTTGCTATGTGGTTTCTAGGTATTCTGAGTGGCTTACAGTTGCTATGAGGTTACTATGGTGTTCTATATGGTTGCCAGGGTGTTGCTATGTGATTTGCTAAAGTGTTCTTCAGTAGTTTCATTCCTGGGTTGTTGTTAGAATGATCTGTGCGGTTGCTATGTGGTTGCTAGGTATTCTGAGTGGCTTACAGTTGCTATAAGGTTACAATGGTGTTCTAGATGGTTGCCAGGGTGTTGCTATGTGGTTTGCTAAAGTGTTCCTCAGCAGTTTTAAGCACATTCCTGGGTGGTAGCTAGAATGTTCTGTGTGGTTTCTATGAAGCTGCAAGGTTTTCTGAGTGGTTTTCAGCATGTTGCTATGATGTTAATATGGTGTTCTAGATGGTTTCCAGGGTGTTACTATGTGGTTGCTAAGGTGCTCTTAAATAGTTTTTAGCACATTACTGTGTGCTTGTTTGCTATAATGTTATGTGTGGTTCCTATGCAGTTGCTAAGGTGTTCTGAGTGGTTTATAGCATGTTGCTATGGGGTTACTATGACGCTTTAGATGATTTCCAGGGTGTTGCTATGTGGTTGCTAAAGTGTTGCTAAAGTGTTTTGGGTGGTTGTTAGAACACATTAGTTGCTAAGTATGCAGTTACTATGGTGTTCAAGATTGTTGCCAGGTTGTTGCTAAGTGGCTTGCTAAAGTGTTCTTCAGTAGTTTCATTCCTGGATCGGTGTTAGAATGTTCTGTGTGGTTGCTATGCGGTTGCTATGTATTCTGAGTGGTTTACAGTTGCTATGAGGTTACTATGGTGTTATATATGGTTGCCAGGGTGTTGCTATGTGATTTGCTAAAGTGTTCCTCAGCAGTTTTAAGCACATTCCTGGGTGGTTGCTAGAATGTTCTGTGTGGTTGCTATGCAGTTGCTAAGGTGTTCTGAGTGGTTTATAGCATGTTGCTATGAGGTTACTATGATGTTCTAGATGATTTCCAGGGTGTTGCTATGTGGTTGCATGGATATTCTGGGTTGTTGCTAGGTTGATGTTTAACCAGCTCTGTCTCTAGGCTCAGTTCCCTCCTTTCTATACGGGAAAAAATAGTTTGACTTCCCAAAATATATATATAGAATATACTGTATAAGAAAAATAAATGTTGCAAACAGCAAAAATATACAGTATATTTTCTGAAATTTTAAATATATTTTCTATAAACCATCAAATGGCTAAATATTTTAGATTATGTATTTTAAGGATTTTCTGTAAATGCACTATATCTATTTGTTTAAAATACATTTTAGACAATATAAATATATTTACATTGAAAAAATATATCAACCCATGAGAGGAAATATCAGTTAATTAATCAACAACAACAAAAATATATATATATGTGTTTGACCATTTTTTAAATATATTTTAAATGTATATCTGAACATTTTTTGCTGAAAATGGTGCGTCTGATCACTTAGTAAAGTAGTAAACGCTAAACACTTGGCATTAAGAGTTTGTCCAAATCACTAGTTGTAAGTCATAGTTGCACTAGCAGTATTCCAGTGTCTCTCCCGCTGTTCTCTTTCCTTACACAAACAGATCTGTCGCCTGCACATCATGACCACTCAGCATCCCGCCCCCCCTTCACACCTGTCAATCATTCCGCCGTGAAGGTCCTGACCAGGGCAAAGAACAAACGGCACCTTCATGATCACCCCGCCTGGCCCAATCTGAGCGGGAATCTACCGGGAATGAGGCCTCGGCACGTCAAGGAGAGTCTACATACAGGATGTTTGATATTTCAATTCATACATAAAAACAGTTTTTTCATGTTTAGCTAGCCATGCTTGAACATCTTGAATGTTGGATGCGTGAAGCTTCTCGTTGTGAGAGTGATTACAGTCATAAACTCATTCTGCTCAGGCACAGGGAGGTGTTCTGTGTTTTAATTGGCCGCTCCTGCTCTATCTCTGTTCGTTCTGATGTACGGCCTGAAACCGGAGCCACAGGAAGTGGCCCTGTCTTGTCAGCGTAGACAAATTATTCCATTGACAAAAAAGCAGGCTGTTTTTCTTTCCGGGTTTTTTTTTTTTCAGCTTTTGCGGCGTTGTTTTTGTATCCCCCCCCCTAATGTACCGGACGGGCCTCTTTTTAAAAGCTGTTACCTGAGTTATTGAGAGGGGATGAAAAGACGGCCCACGGTTTCGTGATCTTCGATGCGGCGCAAACCCCTTCGCTCAGGAAAAATCTCCCAGGAGGTTTGCGGTATTCCGGCCCGTTGAGCCTCAGGACCCCCTTTCCCAGTTTTTAGGCCATGCTGGAAATTCCGTGAAAACAGTGCCTGGATGAAAACCAGGTCTATATTTACATTTCCTTTGAAAAGGGTTTCGGTCTTATCATCGAGTCAGGCGTATCACCTTCCTCTGCAAACTCATCTCGAAATCAGCCTCGCTACGAGACGCCGAAATATGCAGAAAATATCCGAGGTTGAAGATCATGTTGACTCAAATGCGAGTTCCCGGAAAAGTGAGCATGTTGTACTTTTTTGTGTGGTGTTTGCAAAGACAAGCATCACTTTTACTTTTACTGTGTGCCGCTTTAAAAGACTTTTGTTTTCTTTTGAAATGTATCAAAAGTGACAGTAGAGACATTTATCATGTAAAATAAATGTGAAATCCTGAATCCTGAAAAATGCATCACAGTTTCCACAAAAATATGAAACTGTTTTCAACATTGATAATAATCATAAATGTGTCTTCAGCAGCAAATCATCATATTAGAGTGATTTATGAAGGATCATGTGACACTGAAGACTGGAGTAATGATGCTGAAAATTCACAGGAATAACAATATATTCACATAGAAAACAGCTATTTTGAATTGTAATAATCAGCTATTTTGAATTGTAGGTAATAATTCACAATATTGCTGTTTTTACTGGATTTTTGATCAAATAAATCCAGCTTTGGTGAGCATAAACATAAAAATAAATCGTAGTATTTATGCTAACGCCAAGCTTTTAAAACATTAACCACTCAGCCTTTTTAACCTGTCCGACAATAAAACATGCAAAACAATCCCGAAGACTAAGCACAGGGTGAAAGGTCAAATGCGACCATCCTGAACACTCATCTGAGGTGATTCGCAACCGTGCGACCCAAAGCCACCTACGCCCTCAGGACGAGTTAACCTCTGCGCTCTGATTAGGGGCCGAGAGCCGTCCCGTCCCGGGGAACCCCTCTCTCTCCGGCCCGGGTCTCGTCTCTACAACCCCTCCGCTGGGTAATTGTTTGCAAACCTCCACACCGGCCGCCCCGGGGCACACAGTGGGCACAAGCGTGGTCATTCTCACCGCGCTGACCCTAAAGCTAAACAGGGTCACTCACCGGCCCCATTTAGCTCTGCCCACAGGCCACCGGGCTCAGTGACATGCTCAGTTGACCCTTGACCCCAGTGATTAAATATCGGCCAGATTCATCTGCAAACATTTAGGCAGTGTCACCTCCGCCGAGCCCCCGTGACACTCGTGCAATGCTGTCAGATTCTGCACGAGCTCGGAGCAAGGACACACATCAGTTCATCTCGCAACGGCTGGAGGTCACTGAGCTCTGTTACAAAACCTAATCAGCGCCCTACCTAGACAGCAGCTAAATTATGCTGCATTTTGGTCAAACAAACTAATAATGCATAAATGCTTACGTTTTGAGAACATTATTAAAGACCAGATCACTTTGAATCGTTCTGTTAACGTTACTGGAAGAACCTTGCAAGAACGTTCTTACATAAGTCTTTTTGTCTTGTTTTCCATTACAAATATCTAAAAAATCTTAAATCAAGATGCATTTACTTGAGAAGGAAAGGAGTTTATGCTTAAAATAAAAATATATATATATATATCTGTCAATGGGGTAAGAAAATAATGCAGGTCTATGGTCACCACCTCAAAGAGCATGCACAGAGAAGTCCAAATTAAACATGATTTAATGACTCGTAAATGTAAGGACACATTGATGGCCTAAGACACGAAACGAGCGGTTTGTGTGAGAAAACGAACAGTATTTATATAGTTTTAACCTCTTATAACGCACAGACCGAAGCGCCCGCGCCCTCAGATCACTTGGACGTGGCTGTGGTTATAAGAGGTAAAAACGATATAAATACTGTTCGTTTTCTCACACAAACCGCTCGTTTCGTGTCTTAGGCCATCAATGTGTACTTACATTTACGAGTCATTAAATCATGTTTAATTTGGACTTCTCTGTGCATGCTCTTTGAGGTGGTGACCATAGACCTGCATTATATGACTGACAGACAAGAACGGTTTGACCTAAAAATATCAAAATTGAAACTACTGCGGAAACAAAGACACCTACATCTTGGATGCCCTTGAGGTAAGCTAAAACATACCAAAAATTTCTTTCAAAGTGAACTATCCCTTTAAGCAGGATGCTAATGGCAAACATTCTCCACGCTGCCTAGGTAGTGAAAAGCAAATAATCAAACTGAGCCATTAGCAATAATATGCAAAACACATCAACTTACAGTATAAGACTTGTGAATCTAATCAGATTTAAGAACCGTTCGTTGTGACAAAACCACACACACTTCCCGAACCTGAAAGCCTCCAAACGTGTCTCAGATTAAACTGATTTGGTAAGGATCATAGGACAGGATTCTTCAGCGTGACCTCTGAACTCTGACCTACCAGTCTTCCTGAGAGGGAAGTCCTCTCTGTAGTCCAGGCCAGAGGTCAGAGGGTATTTGAAGGTGGGCGGAGTCTCTCCTAGAGGAGGGGAGCTCTGTTCGGCAGGACCCGGGTGGGCGGAGCTGTGGTGACATCATGAGAGCGCGTTACACTTTTCATACTTTTGATTCCACTCACATTCTATTCTATTTTGCTAAACACTCACATGGAAAAGAAGTGTAAACTGTAGAATAAGGAGGGTGATGATGTACCTGTACCACAGTTTTGAGCGGCTGAGAGGGTAACCAGCGCCGGACACAGACGTGTCTTTAGTCGATTTACTCATCAGAAAGTCGTGCAGTTTCTGACGAACTTCAGTACTTGCCATCGCACCTGCGGAAAACATGTTAGAAACTTATAGAAAGTCAGCCTATATGTGACTCTTAATATGTAATGGATATATATAATTAATATGGAACTAATGTGAAATTTTCTTTAATATATGTAGCTGCCTAATATTTATTTTTAAATAATTACCAGTAATTAATTTTTTTTTATGTATTTAATATATATTCAAATAAATGTAAGTTTTTTCAATTTAATTGTTCATATTTATGTTTTTTTTTTTTTTTTTTTTTTTTTTTTTTACTAAATATTTATTTTTGTAATCAAGCTAGACATTATCTCAAGCAAACAGTAATTTTCTATAATTTTACATTTTAATATTTAAATATATCTGTTAATTGTATTTTAATTTAAATATGATATTTAAATAATTATTATATTATTAATATAATAAATAAGATTAAATATGATATAGTTATATTATTAAAATATATATTTTATTTAATATATTTTACAATTACGGTAAGTCTAATAGTTTTCCTTGCAATTCAGCGATTTAAAAGATAAAATATTTGTGTGTGCTATCTCTATTCTAAGTATGCTTGACAAATAAAATTTGATATTGTTAAAAGTTTTGTTCAGGTGTCTTAATATAAGCCATAATATTTTTATATAATGAATTCAGTGCCTTTTTATTATTTGATTTTCTCCCTCTGCTCATGTGACATGTGCAACTCAGAAAGGAGAGACGTGTGCAGGAACAGCGTCACCTAGTGGTGAATCAAACCATTTTCAGGATTAAGTCACAGCTGAATAGTTCCCGGACATTAAAAAAAAAAGTTGTCATTATTCATTTTCATTTGTATAGCCTAAAGAAAAAACTATAGGGCCAATTTGGGGAAGTCAGGGAAGGGTTGTTGCTCACTCTCTTTAGATCGCTCCTTCCGTCTGTGGTGCTGGTGTTTCTGTGTTTCTCTCCTGTGGAGCTCCTTCTCGTCCTCGCGCACCTCCTCTCTCTCCTCCTCACACACCAGCCGACGCTCCTCAGCGAACACCTCCTGCTGCTGCCGTAGAGTTAGCAGAGCCTGCTGGAGCTGACGGAGCAAAACACAGATAAAACCTCCATCCTAACCGCACACAAGCACAGAGGTAAACAACATGGCTGATGTTTAGACCATCAAACTGACTTCAGATTGATGTATTGGCGATAAACTGCAAAAAAATGTTTTTCATAATTATGATCATTATAATTATGATTTTTTTATATTTTTTTTAATCTTTGTTTCCGGTCCAAATATCTAAAAATTCTTAAATCAAGAAGCATTTACTAGAGAAGTAAAATGGCATAAGAAATTATATCTTGTTTTCTGGGGGGGAAAACATCTAAATTAAGTGAGTTTTTGCATAAAAAAGCAAAATGATCTGCCAATGGGGTAAGGAAAATACCCCCAAAAATACTTGTTTCCATTTGAATTAAGATTATTTTTAAGCTCTAAAACAAAATAATACTCCAAGGCACTCGAATTGTGTAGAAAAAAAGTTTAAAAGCCTTTATTTGATCATGGCTTTTATCAATAAAATTGGTGACAGATACACCTACGCCTAAGATTATTTTTCTTGTGTTCCATTTGAATTAAGATATAATTTCTTATGTCATTTTACTTATCTATGCTTCTTGATATAATAATTTTTAGATATTTGGACTGCATGGAAACAAGTCAAAAATACTAAGAAAAGCATTTTTTGCAGTGTATACATTGTCCCCAATAAATATTTGGACATTTTGTGCACACTTAATGTATTAATGTAGTATTAAATAACAAATATAAATATGTTTTTTTTGCATTGTGACAATCATCTCCAATTTCCATCTCCTTCACGTCACAAGAGCATTACTTGCACTGACTGGTCTACCATCTGCATCTTAAATGTACTTTAACTTTTATCTGTGCATATACACTAATGAGCCAAAGCATTATGACCACATGCCCAACACTGTCGCTGGTTTGTCCCTCCTCGGACACTAGGTAAAGTCTCACACTGCTGACCGGGATCAACACACAAGCCTTGTCATTTCAGAGATACTCTGACCCAGTCGTCTAGCCATAATCTGGCCCTTATCAAAGTGTCTCATATCTTTCATAAGAAAAAACAATCCAAGGCACTCGAGTATTTGTTTCTAGAAAAATATAAAAAGCCTTTATTTAATGGCTTAGATTGTAAAAACAGGTGACAAGCAACGGCACACCTACGCGTTGCGGCCAATAAGCCTTCATCAGGGGGTCTCATATATTTATTCCTGCCCATTCCTCCTGCGTCCAACACGTTGAGTATGAAAACTGATTTTAATATGCTTTAAGACAAACCATGTGTGAATTCATAAGTCGACAGCATTGCTGAGTATTTCCTCCTTAAAGGGATACTCCACTTTTTTTTGGAAATAGGCTCATTTTACAACTCCCCCAGAGTTAAACTGTTGAGTTTTACCGTTTTTGAATCCATTCAGCCGATCTCCGGTTCTGGCGGTACCACTTTTAGCATAGCTTAGCATACATCATTGGAGTGGACAAGACCATTAGCATTTCTAAAAAAAAAAAATGACCAAAGAGTTTCGATATTTTTCCTATTTAAAACTCGGTCTTAGTGCACGATGTAACTACAGAAGAGTCAAGTTTTAAATAGGAAAAATATCGAAACTCTTTGGTCATTTTTTTTTTTAGAAATGCTAATGGTCTTGTCCACTCCAATGATGTATGCTAAGCTATGCTAAAAGTGGTACCGCCAGAACCGGAGATCGGCTGAATGGATTCAAAAACGGTAAAACTCAACAGTTTAACTCTGGGGGAGTTGTAAAATTAGCCTATTTCCAGAAAAAGTGGAGTATCCCTTTAAAGCTGCAGTGAACCAAAGACAGTCTCAAAAACACGAAATCGCTGGTGTTTCTGACGTCACAAACGACCTTGTAACCAATCAGATCAACGTGTGATCGTCAACGAGTAGATCTCTGAGCTGAGTGAGTGAGTGGAGGCGGGGCTCATTTGCATATTCATAGAATCGCGTACTAAATGAGAGAAGGGTGTCGAGTTACATTCAAGCTGTTGTAAGGAAAAAACGTTTAAATATGTCATATTGGTGATCAAAGGGGAGTTTTAAGGGATCAAATTATTGACTACAGGGGGACTTTAATAAAGTATATGGCCTTATTAGGAGATGATCAACAATATTCGCTTCACCTGCTGTGACTGGTCATCATAATGTTTTGGCTCTTATTGCTATTTGCACTTCTGACTATATGCTTCTGTATTTCATTGGCTTTGTACTGTACTCTGCACATTGACTCAAGCTGAATCTAATCTAAATCTAATTGATCAGAAAACATACTTTACTAACTAAACATGCAAAAAGTTTAAAGATTAAGATTAAAAGTCACTGAAAATGAAATAGTGCAGATAACCATTACTTTAATATTTTGTGACTTACTTTTGTGGCCCAATTTGAACTATTCTGCATGTACGCACTCATTCAATGCTTTACACACACACACACACACACACACTGAGGTAATGAGATCAGCTGAGTAGCTCTGACTAAATCGATTCATTTCCTGCAGGCCAGACTGGTGACCTTAAACCACACTGACCTGCTTCAGAAAGGAAGATCAGCTTCATCCGATCTACAAATATCTGACACAAACAGCGTCTTGATTTGACTAATGAATGGACTAACGGCATGTGTGGGTGGAGTTTGCTCTAATGGAAACAGAGTTTTATATGGATACGTCACATTGTCGTCATTGCATGTAAGTTCCTGGTATCCTCACACAGATTACAAGTAACCAGGTTTAGAGATAAACTTGCACACACAGCCAAACTGTTTTCTTTTTGTTTTCCCAGTACAAATATCTAAACATTCTTACTCAAGATTTATCATTTACAATCAATAACTTGAGATACAAAAATATGTCAAATGAGAAGTATTGTTTCCTAAAAAATATATATATAGATTTTTTTTATTATTATTATTTGGTACGTTTTTACTGAAGACAAGAACAAATATCTGCCAATGGGGTCAGAAAAATAAAATGAAATTTTTTGTATGACCCCACTGACAGATATGTTCTTATTTTAAGCATATACTCACTTCATTTTGATACAGTTTTCACAACCAGACTTAATATCTTAAGTAGTTCAAGTAAATGTATGTTTCGATATTTATACTAGAAAACAAGACATAAAAATACGTAGGAAAATAAATTTTGGAAGTGCAGTCACGGTTGGTGATTTATCTATCCTATTAGTTTAACAATTTATGATTATCCTTTCTAAACAGTACGATAAATGCAAAGTTTGCATGTTTATTTGCAGTGTGTGGTTTTTCCATCTGGGGTCATTGTAAACAAAGGCTGATTCCCAGCTAACAAAATTATGTGTAACACTTTATTTTAAGGTGGTGTAGTTACATGTTACTACATAGTAATAACAGTAAATTGTGCATAATTACAAGTAACTAACCCTAAACCAAACCCTAATCGTAACTCTATAGTAAGTAGTTAATATTAATATTAAATTGTACTTATTTGAGTTCAATGGCCCTCATTTATTAAAAGTGCGTACACCAAATTTCCAGCGTACACCTGGCGTACACTCAAAACCACGGTGACTTTGAGATTTATCAATATGGACGTTGGCGTACGGCACGCTCAAATCCTACGCCAGCTCAGGAGGTGGTGTACATGTACGCACGTTTTGAGTTAGTGCGGAAATGCGCAGAAAAACAATCCCTACACCACAAACGCACTGACAAACTAAAAGATATGATATATTATGACCCACAGTAAAAAAACAACAACAACATAGTAATTATAAACTTCAGTGTTTATTTTTGTGCAACATGGACTGTGCGCTTTACCCTGACGTTTCAGGGTTATCCTCGGCAGGTGCGCACGGACTGGGTTCGGTAATGAAAGGCTTTCAATGACCAAAAAATAATTCAGACTGACAAAATAATAAAAATTACATTCTTCTTCTTTTAAATATTAATAACGTCATTCTTCTTTTAAATAACAATAAGCGTCAGTAATAATAAAAATCATAAATGGTAATGGTAAATGGTAATAATAAGAACAATATTACAAATTGTCATGCAATTATTAATGTGAATGAATGGTACTCCACATCACATCATCATCATCATCACTATTGTACACCTACATGTGACGTGATTCGAAATTGAATGCTAATTCAAAAGACGTGCTGTAAAATAATGCATTGTGATAGGTCATTTCGGCTCCACGTCAGAGAAGTTACTCTTCTTTGCCGTCTTCCGTGTGTTAATGGTGTAAAATGAGGGCGTGGGGGAAGCGGAGACTTGAATATATAGGGGCGTGCTATTCTAATGACGATCGTTTTCAGCCGCTGGATTTATCAAGGACAGGCATTGCGTACACCTGGATTTCAAAGGTACGCACAGCTTCATAAATCAGGCGGTTAGAGGAGTGTAAGCATAATCTAACGCCAACATATACGCCCGTTTCTACGCAAGAATGATAAATGAGGGCCAATGTTACTACTTCACCTTAAAATAAAGTGTAACCAAATTATGTTCAAAGAACGTTTTGTGAACGTTCATCATTAAGTTATGAAAATGTAATTTTTGAATGGTCTCTTAACGGTCAAAATGTCAAGTTTTTCAAATGCTTTAAAAAACTTTTTTTGTGAAAGAGGCCATATATCCTTTTTCATAGGCTTGATTTTGTTTTTGGACTCTACTAGAATAGGTTTACAAGCTTGAATGATCAAAAAACACATTATTTTCCCCATATTCTCCATTGTTGCGGCTCCTCTCTTCCCAGTCTGTCAGTATCGCTCTGTTTAGTTCCTGTCTCTATGAAGCCCCTCCTTCTGAAAAGCACAGTGTGCTCTGATTGGTCGGCTGGATCAGTGAGTTGTGATTGGTCAACGCCCCTTACCATAACCGCCAGTTTCAACACACTACTATCTAACTCAACCAGGCCCCGCCCCTTTATTCTGTGTATGGATTATTTAAATGAGGAATATTGTGACGTGTTCGTTCCCGGAAGAAAACTCAAGACCACAATGGAGGCGTTTCAGGGAGTTCAGAAACACTGATATAGAGAATAACTCCAACTGGAGGGACTTTGTAATTTTGAGCATTTTCACGCTCATACAGCAACATTACACGCTAAAGATGGTGCATGTAAAAAAATAACAAAATAAAGTATTATGGGTCCCCGTCGTTGGAAACATTCAATGTTCAATGAACATGTATAAAAGCAAGTAGTAACATTTTTTAAATGTTTGATGAATATTCATCAGGGAAAAAAAAAAAACGTTCCTTGAACAATATATTAATAATGCCTCTGAGAGAACGTATACCTTGCCAAAGTTGTGGGAGGGTTCCCTGTGAGATGGCTGTACCTTGATGTGCTCCTCGAGCTGGGCCTGATGTTGTCTCAGCAGGTTCTGGTGCTGCTTCTGGAACTCAGAGATGAGCAGCTGTTTCTGGATCTGCTGCTGTCTCTGGATCAGAAGCAGCTCGCGCTGTAACTGCTTCTCCCAGTCATCCGAATCACGGTCCCAGTCCAACATGCTGACCTCAGATGTGCCCGACGCGGACAACCCCTCTGAGTCTGAGAGAGAGAGACAGCACAAACACACTCAGCAAAGAGTTTAAACTCGATTAAATGCAACAAAGCCACACTTGAGATTAGATACCTTTAGCTTTGCTCAAATCTGATTCATTTCAGCTAAATGGTTTGTGGACAAGTACCGTTTAAATGCCATAGATTTCTGAGACTAGCTCATATGTGAAGGATTGCAGTGTTAGCTGCATGAAAATGACAAATTAAAACCCTTCTTTCGAGTCTTTAAATAAACCCAAGGGCAATTACGGGCATAATCTACAGGGAGGGTCTTTTTATGGGGTCTGTTTCAAATGCCTTGAGCGTAAACACAGAGGTATTTCAACAACCTCCCGTTCGAGGCCGAAATCTTATTTGAGCTCAATCTAAAGCGAGACACCGTGTGACTGTCATGTTTGAGCTGCACTTAATGTATTTTTACACAGGTGAAAAAAAGGAAAGGCGTTTGGTGCAGGATATGTGTGTGTTTCGAGAGAGAATGATCTGGTCTCACGCCCTAAAAAAGCAGCGCTGTAAAAATGCGCTCGTAAACATGACCTTAATCTGCTGCTCCAATCTCCTCACTAATAAACCTATTACTGCTGCATATATGCTGTTTTCTTTATAAAGCACACAAACACAACCAGAGATAACAATGAGATAGACTTTCAGTTTCAGTGTATCAATATACAGAATCTCAAACAGTTTCTTCGATGTTCCTCCTGAGGAAAAGACCCCAGTAATCTAATGCGTGTCTCCTCTTGAGTTTCAGATGAGGAAAAATATGCTTTGGTAAATCATGGTTATAAGATTAAAATTATGACATGAAAAGTCGAAATGATGACAAGTCATTATGACATAAGTTATTATGAGACAATAAGAGAAATATGAGATAAGAAAAAAATACGTTTTTTATGTCATAATTACGATTTAGTATCTCGTAATTTTTACTTTTTATGGCATAATTATGACTTTATCTCATTATGACTTAGTATCTCATAATTTCGAATTATGTCATAATTTTGACTTTTTATGCCATAATTTTGATTTAGTGTCATAATTTTGTCTTTTTGTGTCATAATTATTTCTTTTTTTCACAATTATGACTTTTATGTGATAGTTATGACTTGTATGCCATTATTTCAACTTTTTCCTCATAATTATGACTTATTACCGGTATGTCATAATTTTGACTTTGTATGTGATAGTTGTGACTTAGTATGTCATAATTGTGACTGTTATCTCATATTTATTATTTTTTATGCCATAACTTTTTGTGATAGTTGACTTATAGTCAACTTATATTTCGACTTTATCTCAATTATGACTTAGTAGGTCACAATTGTGACTTTTATCTCATAACTTTTATGCCATAATTATGACCTTTTTATCATTATTATTACTAGTCTCTCATGATTTTGATGTCAAATGACTTAATTTCATAGTTATGACTTAGTATGACAATTTCGACTATATCTCATGTAATGATTATGACTTTAGTGTGTCATAATTTTGACATTTATTTCATAATGTTTACTTTTTATGTCTTTGTAACGGTCACCAGCTGTAGTGTCCTTGAAAGCCACCCACAACAGACTATGGTCATTCCCTCACAAACTACATCTCCCATAATTCTCTGCCTGGACTCATTAGCACTCATTGTTTTCACCTGTGTCTCATCTTCTTGTTTGCTCACCCTATATAAGCCTGGTTATTTCTGTCATTCCCTGCGAAGTCTTGTTTAGTGTCACACTGCAATTCCACGCATTCTCCTGGTTTTCTTTATCTTAGTTTTCGTTTATTCTTCTGTCCGGTTTCTTGGTTTCCTCTGTTTTTGCCTGTGCCCCTATATATGACCCTGTTATTGTTTGGACTGATTACCCAGTGTTTATGACCTTTGCCTGTTTCTGACTACGATTGTGGATTACCCTTTCAATAAAACTGCATTTAGATCCTCAGAGCAGTTCGTGACAGTCATAATTCTGACTTTTTACCTTATAATTATAGTATGTCAAAATTTACTTTTTATGTCATAATTATGATTTACCAAAGTATGATTTATTTTTTGGTTACATTTTATTTTGATGGTCCACTTTAGACAATCTACTAACTGTAAGTAACTTTGCAACCACATGTCACCTAGCAGTCATTATAGTACTACTAGACTGTAGTAAACTGTTCGGTTAGGTTAGGAGCATCAAAATAACATGTTATATTAAGCAGACAATCTACTAATACTCTAATTAGAGGTAGTTGACATATAGTTGCAAAGTTACTTATATCTAGAATGACTAAAGTGGACCATCGAAATAAAGTGTTTTTTTTATGTGGCTGAAATTGGACTTCCATAAGAGATCTCAATGATGTGCTGGGGTTTGACAAGATATCAAAGTCTCCAATCATACGTCAGGGATCTTAATATGAACTCAAACATTTGTATCTAATTCTTCAATGATCAAACAATCTGAGCTGCTCTCCACATTCATTTTATACTGCACTGTAGCTCTATACTCTAAATACTCTATACCTCGGTGCAATAAAACCTCCCTCTGGTCACACAGTTATTCTTTGATGGTGGGTTATGGGGGTAACCATGCAATAGGCGACAGTTGCATTCGACTCAGAATATCAGCATCATGTCCACGTTCGGGCGATGAAATAAAAACCGCCTCGTTGTGAAACCAACTCTTGCCACAGAGGCTCCACCGGGCCCCCGGCCCAGAATACACAAACCACAAAAAGCACAGGCCACCAAAACAGAACCACAACACTGGCCAAAGGTGTCAATCGACACCAAAAATACTGCGGCATGTGCTCTGAACGCAATAAAAGACACCCATGAGACAACTCTCTGACTCTCAAAACCTTCACTTCAAAAACATCTCATCTTTGTTTCTCCTCCTGTTATTAAAAAACAGCGTGCATTATAAATAAAGCCTTCCGGTATGTAGTTACGTGAGGAGTTAACTCAGACGGAACGATAACCGGGGCTAATCTTAGCATCCTAATGCCTTAAGCCCAGAATACGGTGGCTAAGAATAGTCAGACTTGAAGTCAAGAGGCCAGAACATTCAACATGCAGCCGCGGGCAGTAAGGGAGCGCAGAGGGGTAAATAACTGCCCTCTCACGCCATTCCTAAAGCGGGACGCTCACAAACACACCTGAGCACAACACAACCCTGTCAAAAGATGTTTCTCAGAAACGACAAATCAAGTATGAAGTAAACACGCATCCACCTGCTAAACACTGATTTCACTTGACAACATTAGATTCTGCAATTATTCAGCAGGTGACAGTAAAGAATGTTACAAAAGATTTCTATTTCAAATAAATGCTGTTCTTTTGAACTTTCTATTTGTTAAAAATCCTTGTTTTTAACAATCAATTTGCAGTTTGCACAAAACAAATATGAAGCAGCACAACTAAATATTTATCAAATGTTTCTTATCAGCATATTAGAATGATTTCTGAAGGATCATGTGACACTGAAGACTGGAGTAATGATGCTGAATATTCAGCTTTGCAATGCGAGTTCAATAGGAATGAATTTGGTTAGACGTTTGCGCTTATATGCGTATGCAAACCGTGTGTGACAATGGGGGTTGTGCTATCAATTTTACCTTCTAGTGTGCACTTTCTCATCACCAGCCAAGTGCATACATTTAGTGCATAGTATAAATATGCTAAATGGGACGCACACACACACTTGGATGAGCTCTCATTCCCTGCAGACACGCCAGGTGTCTAAGAGAAACAGTTCCTCACAGTCGACACACATGCTAAAAACAGGAGTTGCACTGTTGAACTCTTACACCGCTAACTCATAGAGTTACCAAACTGGAGATTAATAGCTCTGTTTGGAAGCATACTGTACTGCTCTCACTGCAAAAAAACAGTATTTCTGTTTTGTTTTCCAGTATAAATATCTAAAAAATGATTGAATCAAGATATATTTAGGCCTACTTGAGAAGGAAAATGACATAAGATATTAATATCTTAAGCCATTTTGATTCTCAAGTAAATCTTAATTTAGGAATGTTAGATATTTGTACTGGAAAACAAGATTTTTGTTTCACTCAATGTGCAAATAATTGAGGTAATGTGACAACACTTTAGCATGCAACTGATTAAAATGTTTATCATTGCACAATTCATTCTACTTTTTTAATTATGCAACGCATAGGCAAAATGCAGTAAACTGCACAGTATTCAGTAAGAAACATAACTTGCCAAAACAAAGCAAAAAGGACTTTTTTAAATCCATCTTCGTGAAATAAATGAGGATATAAATCTGAGATCTGCAACCTGCTGCTGGATTTTATCTGTAAAGGGCCTGACTAACAGATGAGTGTCTGGTGTTTATACAACAGAGTCATGAGGAAACATAATGCGAATCATTTGATGTGAGTCATTTGCTTTTGTTAAATGAAACATTGAATTATTATGTGACATATGAAACTAACAGACATCTCAATATAGATTTGACCTGGTCAAGAGCTGATGAATCATCTACAAATAGTGTGATGTGAAACTCTCAATAATAACTCGCATCACACAAGAAACAGAAACAGACTGCAGAGATCTCGATATGAACTCAAACACTTCTCATCGACTTCTCCCAAGAGCACATGACCTGAGCTGCTTTTCACGTTCATTTTAAAGCTCTAAACTCATACTATATATTGTAATGTTTGCTCGTTTGCACACTGGCTAAACCATGCCAGGATATAACATATATGACTACTATTTGTGTGTATAGCGACATTTGAGCAACACAATTTACCTGAGCTCGACGACCTCACACATGTGATAGGCCTACCTGATCATCTCCTTAATATTTCAGTTGTTTCTGGTACACTGCAGAAAAGATTGTCTTACTCAGGTTTACTGACAATTATCTAAACATGTCTTTAATTAAGACACATTTACTTGGGAATTAAAAGGGGGGAAAAGCGAATTTATGCTTAAATCGGCTATATGTAGAATTCAGAAACCCTTGTTATTAGCGACACCGGTGGCCGTTAAGTGAACTGCAGACAGCAACTTTCTGCTCGTGCTCGTGAACACGCACATTCCGCACAAGAGACTGATCGTGATTAAATCCCTGATATACCTTACTCGCGTCACGGCGAAGCTATTTTTCGTTCTTCGCTTAGAAGTTAAAATAATTTGGAAATACCTTTGCAGCAATACAGGCCTACTGTTAACGAACACCCTGACGCCGTGCTGAGAGCGGTGTTTAGATGAGTAACTTTAGCCTATGTAAATATATTCTGCGATCTTTCCTCTCAGTTTCAATGACAAAATAAACACACAACAAAAAATGACAGCGGTGAGAAAACAGCAAAGAGCATCTGCGATGTGCATATGTTTGCTCAAGTTCTGCAGTTCACAGGCATCATGTCGACAGATGAGGTAATTAAAATCACACCGTTATGATGATAGTTTGATTAGGCTATATATTTTAGACATAGGCTATATATTTTAGACATAGACTATAGTTTGAATGAATCCATTTTCTTTGCATGGCACTTTGACATTACAGTACATAATGGCTCGTTCATTATCCTTATCTGAACATTGCATAAGCATTCGTTTCATGTGTCATATAATGGAAGAGAGGCTCACATCCTTTTGATTTTCCCGGCAAAAACGTCTCGAGTCACAAATCAGTCTAGATGTCGTTTTTAGGTTTCATTACAAGCTGTTCACACATTGGCAATACAAAAACGATGAATGCATGACAATTATTACATATAGGCCATTTAAAACAAGAACAAATATCTGCCAATGGTGTCAAACTGGTGAAAACTAGTTTTACTTTTCTTACCCCACTGGCAGATATTTGTTGTTTTAAGCATAAACTCTCTTTCTCAGAAAAAAAGATTTACATCTTATGTCACTTTGCTTCTCAAGTAAAGTAAAAGTAAAAACATCAAAGTAAAATCACTAAGCAAATCATTTGCATTGTAGATGGAGATCTAAATGAAGACTAACCAGCTGCGTCTGAGGTTTTCACTTGACAAAATAGCTGTATATTGAACAAAAAATTCCAATGCTGGAATTCTCAGAGAAACACCTCATGTCAGTAAGCGTGGGACGTGTGTTCAGGTGTTGTACCTGATCCGATGGCAGCGGCGTGTGTGTCCAGGCTTCTCCTCCTCCACTCGGCAGTGATGCTGGAGTCAGCTTCATAAATGGTCTGCAGCATAACTTGAGCTTCAGACCTCGGTCTCAGCGTCCCGACTTCCTCTCCTTTGATCCGTCTCTCTCTTGCAGAGGGGTTCTGCTGTTTCCGGGTCTCTTCTGTGTTTTCTTCTAGCTGTCCCTGCTGAGTTTCATCAGGTAGATCAGTGAGGAGACGTCACAGGTGAGAACGTCAGCTCTGTTCCTGCCTCTCAACCTCTGTACAGGAAACTCTCTCTCTATCTGTCTCACGCTTTCTCTCTCTGTTACTCTTCCTAACCGCGCGCTCTCTCTCTCCCTCTCTCTTTCTCTCGCTTAGGTGCCAAGAATAGCAGCAGGACCAGCCCAGGACAGAAATAGGCCGGGCCAGACCAGGGGAGTAGAGCAGCGGCCAGACGCTCAAAATAGCAACACAAAAACACAGCTGTCTGCCTTCATCTCTTCCCTGCGCACTCTCTTTCTCCTTTCATTTATCTCTGCATGGGTGAGTCGCATGAAGAAAACGACCAGCTCGTATTTCACCACAAAACCAAAAGAAAGGACTAGGCAACTAGGTTTAACGTCAAGAAAATGAAGCCTGAAAGGAAATTAAGCACATTTCATCCTACTAAATTCTCATGACTGTGACTCAAAAAAAAAAAAATATTATTGGTGTAACATGAGAAATATTGAAACGAGGAAAAAGCACTCTCATTAATGCAAAAAATAGCCTTTTTTTTACTTTAACAAGAAAAATTCTCAGTTTTGTAATCTATTTTTCAGTAAATAAAATTAAAAATATGAATTATATTGAAAATTATTTTATTATTGTTTTCAACATTAATTAAATTCAGTACACATTTTTGTACTTTATGATTGAAGCCATATATATATATATATATATATAAATATTATTCAAATTTCTTATATTGGAGCAATGAAAAGTCTCATTTGTTAAAAAATATTCAAATGAAATTAATCGTAATATTATAAATATGAATTAAATGTAACTTTTTGTATTGTAATTCATTTTATTTTATTATTGTAATTCAAATCAATCAAAAATAAATTTAGTACATATTATTTTGTAATGTATAATTGAAGCAATAGAAATGAAAATGATAATTTGTGGAGAAATATGGTTAACTGTCACAATAAAGTCACATTGCATAATATACATATATTTTTTCTTATTTTGAATTACAATTTTATTAAATATGTTGATTTCTTTCTTTTGATGTTGTGGTAAAATATGAGCTGTCCGAGACCTTGACAGGTTTGGTGAGGTTCCCTCTCCCGATGACCCTTTGAATCTCTCTCTCTCTCTCTCTCTCTCTCTCTCTCTCTCTCTCTCTCTCTCTCTCTCTCTCTCTCTCTCTCTCTCTCTCTCTCTCTCTCTCTCTCTCTCTCTCTCTCTCTCTCTCTCTCTCTCTCTCTCTCTCTCTCTCTCTCTCTCTCTCTCTCTCGGTTTCTCTCTGCTCGTGTCAGACTGTTTCTCCTCAAGCTCCTGTGGACAATCTTTCTGTCATTGAGTGATTTTCTTCTGTTTGATCTTTCCTCTTATCTGTTTACACTCTTTCAGACGGGTCTGTCTCGTGTTCTTGTCTTCTCTTCACCTGTTTCTCTCAGAGGTTTAATCTCAGTAAAAGCATTAGCCGATTTCAAAGGGAGATTCGGACACGTTCTGTGGACATCAAGCAGTCGACTTCCTGTTTCCCTTCATCAGTAAACAAACAAAGTCTTTGATTTTATATCTGCAAAACGGCATTTAGTTGAAAATGCACAGAATAGAGAGATTTGGACTTTGACTTTGCAGATAAAAAGTGTCTTTGCTCGAGATATTTGACTTTATAGTTAGAATTTGGTGCCTTTCTTTGTGATTAATCTGGTGTGTACAATTTCCAGCTTATTAATATCACATGATAAATCATCATATATGAGCGGTCTGATCACAGTTTGAGACGTTGTTGAGATTTCTTCTGAAACTCTAGAGGAGATACTGAAGTCATTTTGGAAATGTCTCCATTTAATCTTATTTCTCTAGGAGAAACATCTGAGAACTCAGAGAGATTTGTGATTATTCTTTCCTCCAAATTCCCTAATGAAATACACATTTAATATTGATGAAATACATATGGACCAACTGATACTACTGTTAACAAATAACGTGAACAGATTTGTGCTCAGATTTGATGTATTTTCTATTGAAACATGAAATTGGGTCGAAAATGTCATGTTTCATTTACAAAAATCATTTATATAATGACCTTTTTTAAATAGCTAAAAACCTTTAATTCACTTTTTTTGCTTTTTGCTGTGGCCGATATAAGGAGGATTTTTCTCATTTTATATTTTAGTATTAGACAAATATTTGTATACAGTAAAAATCTCTGTCATCAGTAACAAGTCATCAATAACTTTGGAATGTTTTACTGGCAGAAACTTCTTTATTTTAAATGTTTATTTTTGCCAGCTTGTAGGTTTACACCAGAAAGGAATAATTTAAAAATGAAAAATATGAATATGAATATAATTTTAATTTGTTTTATTGTTATTTATTTAAAATATATGAATTAAATTCAGTACAAATACTACTGTGACAAATACTTAAAATGGTATTTTACAAATGTTTTTGTACCTTATAATTGAAGCGATATATCACAGTTTGTGATATATATAAATGAGAAGTCAGAATAATATCACGATGCAATATACTGTAGATAGATAGATACTATAGATAGATAGACGTATACTATAGATAGATAGATAGATACTATAGATACTATAGATAGATGATAGATAGATAGATAGATAGTTACTATAGATAGATAGATAGATAGATAGATAGATACTATAGATAGATATATAATATAGATAGATAGATACTATAGATAGATAGATAGATACTATAGATAGATAGATACTGTAGATAGATAGATAGATACTATAGATAGATACTATAGATAGATAGATACTAGATAGATAGATATATACTATAGATAGATACTATATAGATAGATAGATAGATAGATACTATAGATAGATAGATAGATAGATAGATAGATAGATAGATAGATAGATAGATAGATAGATAGATAGATAGATAGATAGATACTATAGATACTATAGATACTATAGATAGATGGATGGATAGATAGATAGATAGATAGATAGATAGATAGATAGATAGATAGATAGATAGATAGATAGATAGATAGATAGATACTATCGATACTATAGATAGATAAATAGATACTATAGATAGATAGATAGATAGATAGATAGATAGATAGATACTATAGATAGATAGATAGATAGATAGATAGATAGATAGATAGATAGATAGATAAATAGATACTATAGATAGATAGATAGATAGATAGATAGATAGATAGATAGATACTATAGATACTATAGATAGATAGATACTATAGATAGATGGATGGATAGATAGATAGATAGATGGATGGATAGATAGATAGATAGATAGATAGATAGATAGATAGATAGATAGATAGATAGATAGATAGATAGATAGATAGATAGATAGATAGATAGATAGATACTATAGATAGATGGATGGATAGATAGATAGATAGATACTATAGATAGATAGATAGATAGATAGATGGATGGATAGATAGATAGATAGATAGATAGATAGATAGATACTATAGATAGATGGATGGATAGATAGATAGATAGATGGATGGATAGATAGATAGATAGATAGATAGATGGATGGATAGATAGATAGATGGATGGATAGATAGATAGATAGATGGATGGATAGATAGATAGATAGATAGATAGATAGATAGATAGATAGATAGATAGATAGATAGATAGATAGATAGATAGATACTATAGATAGATGGATGGATAGATAGATAGATAGATAGATAGATAGATAGATAGATAGATAGATACTATAGATAGATGGATGGATAGATAGATAGATAGATAGATAGATAGATAGATAGATAGATAGATAGATAGATAGATAGATACTATAGATAGATGGATGGATAGATAGATAGATAGATAGATAGATAGATAGATAGATAGATAGATAGACAGATAGATAGATAGATAGATAGATAGATAGATAGATACTATAGATGGATGGATAGATAGATAGATAGATAGATACTATAGATAGATAGATAGATAGATAGATAGATAGATAGATAGATAGATACTATAGATAGATGGATAGATAGATAGATAGATAGATAGATAGATAGATAGATAGATAGATAGATAGATAGATAGATAGATAGATAGATAGATAGATAGATAGATAGATAGATAGATAGATAGATAGATAGATGTCCTCCTCGATTTCATGGGCTCTTTAAACATCATCATGATTCCATTAAATTTCCCTGTGGGGAAAACACCTGACAATCAGCCAGTTTAAAGGAAAAATAGGACATGAAACACCGGCTACTGACGTGGAATCCCCTCAGGCCTGCGAATGAATTAGGAAACAGAGGAAATCTTTTTGTAATCCAGAAAAAGCACAATTCCCAGGAGCGAGACATTCCTAATGCATGACAGAGATGAAGTTCCTCTGTGGCCACAAACGGCATCACAACTTTATTTTCTCAAGCATGCAGTTTTTAGTGATGTTTGCTAAGGCACACATCAACCCAGCACCTTAGCAACCACCCAGAACACCCTAGCAACCACGTGACAACATGCTGAAAGTAAAAACCATTCACAAAACCTTTGGCAACTGCGTAGCATTGTGGCTGTGAATTGTGCAAACACCGCTACAGTACATCATTGTGAAGTGTACTGATTGCTTGGCTCCTGTCTTGAACACACACACACACAACCATACACAGACCTATAGATTTCCTGCTCTTCCTCTCCAGACAAAACAATGGCAGTGTTGTTAAATAGGTCATCTGCACAGGTCTGACAGAGAAACACACTCCCAAGGTAAAAGGGGGCAGATAAAAATAACCACGACAGCAAAACAGCCTGTTCTCTCTATAAAGACCTTCAGCGGTTTCTCTGAATACAAGTGCACTGACAACTGCTTATTGCACAGTAGGTTCTATATATAAAGCAAGAAAGATGCAGTTTGTGAAGGCTTCTTGTGTTACTGTGACAGTGCTTGTGTTGTGTAGACAGTAAGAGTATATCTCCGGCCTGATAATATGTGAAACTGTATGCATGATTATGTCATTTCAGACAACAGCTGCATTGTTGTGACGCGATGTCACTCACTACATTACTTGTTTAATTCAGCACCAGATCATAATCTTGATTATCAAATAAATATTCTTATTTTGCCTTCTTGATTCTTTGTTTTTGCGGTCTTATCAAATGAGACTCGTCACTGTGGACGGAAACCCTCTACAGATCAAACCTCACGACATAAGAGGCACAAATAAAAGTCCACCAATGTAAACGCATTTAGATGCTTAAACATAAAAATACACACTCATAAACCCACACATGCATCTGCGGAGCTTTTAGGGTCAGTTTGCAACAGCGCCATCTTGAGGCTAAAATACACAAGTGCATGACTTTGTATTACTGGTGAAACTCGAACAATTAGAATATTGTGGAAAAGTTCATTTATTTCAGTAATTCAACTTAAAAGGTGAAACTAATATATTATATAGACTCATTACATGCAAAGTGAGATATTTCAAGCCTTTATTTGTTATAATTTTGATGATTATGGCTTACAGCTTATGAAAACCCCAAATTCAAAATTAGAATATTGTGAAAAGGTTTTCATAGCTATAAGCCATAATCATTAAAATTATAACAAATAAAGGCTTGAAATATCTCACTTTGCATGTAATGAGTCTATATAATATATTAGTTTCACCTTTTAAGTTGAATTACTGAAATAAATGAACTTTTGCACTATATTCAAATTTTTCGAGTTTCACCTGTGGAGATATGATGCAAAAGAGTGTGTGTGTGTGTGTGTGTGTGTGCTTCTGTTCAAAAGGGGTCAGCAATCCATTTTTCAAAGAAATAAATACTTTTATTCAGCAAGAATGAATTAAATTGATCAAAAGTGACATACTTTTATTTTGATACAGACAGTTTACATGTCAAATAAATTATTTTGAACTTTCTATTCATCAAAGAATCCTGAAACAAATGTATCACAAAGCAGCACGACTGTTTCTAACATTGATAATAATCATAAATGTGTCTTCAGCAGCAAATCATCATATTAGAGTGATTTCTGAAGGATCATGTGACACTGAAGACTGGAGTAATGATGCTGAAAATTCAGCTTTGATCACAGGAATAAATTACATTTTACTATATATTCACATAGAAAACTGTATTTTGAATTAAAATAATATTTCACAATATCACTGTTTTTACTATATTTTTAATCAAATAAATGCATCTTTTGTGAACAGAAGAAACTTATCGACACAAAACTTTTTCAAGTGTGTATACACGTGTGTTATGTGAGTGTGTTTTTTAAGATTGCTCATTTATGTGTGTGTGTGTGTGTGTGTGTGTGTGTGTGTGTGTGTGTGTGTGTGTGTGTGTGTGTGTGTGTGTGTGTGTGTGTGTGTGTGTGTGTGTGAAGGAAACATCATGCATATGTCAGTGTGTCAGGAATGTTGCTGGTCTCCACCCTCGGAGATTTGAGGATGGATGAGCCAATATAAAGCTGAGGTTTTCTGTGTTGACATCACTCAAACAATCACACCATCTGCGTCACTCAACACACACTCATGAACTCGTTTCAAAACCTCTCGGTCGAGACTCAGTCACACAATACAGGCTACAATATCTGCGTCTACATCCATACTAACCCACATTTTAGAGGAATAATAAAGTCATCAAAACGCTGAAATAGCTATTTTAATCAGTAACTAATCTGTCTTCCATTACATCTACCTTCAGTCCAGGTGTGTGTGAGAGCATGGGAGAGGTCAAAAGGTCAAGCTACACACTTCAAAATAAAGCTTCTTTATTGGCATCAATGGTTCCATAAAGAACCTTTAACATCCATAGAATATTTCCATTCCACAAGATTCTCTAAAGTAAAGAAAAGGTTCTTTGCACTAAGAATAAATGGTTCTCTTAAAGCTGCAGTCCGTAGCTTTTCCTCTTTGTCGCCATCTGTCTGTTCGAAATCTGTAACTGCAGTGATTCGCGGAATTATCATCTTTACGTGGGTTGTAAATCGGCATGAAACAGCGCGGATGAACACAGTGCTTTGAGGCGAGTGCTGCTGTCAGTCACCGCGCTGTGTGGATACTGGCATACAGAATCACAGATTCACTTTTTGAAAGTTTGACTAACATAAGAATTTTCATAAGAAAATGTCTTCTGAACAAGTAAGTAACATCCAGTTTTGTTCTGACCAACTAAGGGGGAAAAGCATTCGACATGATAAGCTTCGTTAGATTTAATCAACGCGATTTACAGCAACCTTGCAAATTATAGCCTACTTTATTCTCAAATTGTTCATGTTAACAACATCACATCAGCATTGCGTGACTCATGTTAAATTTAATGTGTTTTATGGTTACCTGTGTAGTTCAGAATTCATATTCTCCATAATAGCAAAACGAGAAAGGCACAACAAAGGAAACTCCATAACTGTGTGAATTAAGAAAACGTACTGTTACACGATTGAACTATTGAAATGTCTTACTTGTTCAGCAGAAAAAAGCCAATCTCTTCTTCCGTTTTGAACCCCTTCAAAACACGGAGTTCAAGCACTTTTCAAAAGCCCCGCCGATGTTTAAATCCTTGTGTTCGCATGAGACGGTTTCTTTCTCTTCCTCTAGCCACCTTAAATCCGAAGTACGAAGTCTTTTGGGTTTTATAACTGCTGAATCTCCAGTTGACACTGATGATTGTTGTCTGGATCTTTCTGGATGCCATAAGTTTAATTATGTAAAGTGCTGCGAGAAAAGCCTATACATCTAAACATCTCGTCACGCGCAGTATAGCCGGCTAGCCGAAACTCCTTCTTTATGTGTACGGGTGTGACGTCATGACGCAAAGACATGCTCGAATTTCCCGCGGAAACCCACCAGTACCACTGGAATTAAAATCATTATTACAAGCTAACCGTTTTTAATAGCTATGGCAAGCATAGTTTTGACCACTGGCAGAATATGTTTTTTTTAATATAATTATTTTGGATTATTTTTAACTTAAAAAAGCTACGGACTGCAGCTTTAAGAACTGTTTACTGAATTGTTCTGCATTGCTGTGAAACCTTTATTTTATTTATTTATAGGAAATGACATCATTTATAAAGCTCTGTGTATATGTGAGTGATGGAGAGGTACCTGTGTGTAAGCTCATCGAGAAGTCAGCCAATGGTGAAGAGCGTACAGCATCACGTGAGTCCTTTAACGGCAAGAATAAACACAAGAACACATTATAACCTTAGAGATGCAGAAAACAGCCACTTATGCAAATCAATAGCTCTCAGCCAAAACAATGGTTGGATATTTTTCCTTTACCTTTTGTGCTGTTTCATGAGTTATTTTGCATTTCATAATTTTTTTAATGTGATGGCTGTTCAGTAATAGTGCCAGACAGTGGCATATTCACACTCTTCTTCATAGCAGACCTGTTGATATAACCTGTGGATCTGATCTTCACCCTGTTGCTGTACTATTCACCTGTGGATGAATCATGTGAAATCTCATCTGTGCACTAATGCCTTCAAACCAGCTGAGATGCTCTGGAGGAACATCTTCTGTGAGGCGTCCTCAGTGTGTGTGTGTGTGTGTGTGTGTGTGTGCTGTCAGTTCTATTTATAGCTCAGTGATGTGTCCCTCATGCATCCTATGAGCAGACGATGCTGGATATATTCTGTACCTGTTACCAAGAGCTCTAAACCCTTCTTTAAGGGGAAAACTACAATGCAATATATGGTTTTACAGTTTACTGTTATTAGTACTGATTAGACTGTATTATAAACCATTATATATGCAAAATTTATGAGATAGATTCTCATGTAAAATTGCTCTAATTAATTCCATTTAATAGGCATACATGCATTACAGTGCATAATGTCACATAAATACATGACCCTTTTACACAAAAGCAATGATCTGATTCAAGTTTGGGCAACATTTTTTAAACAAAATCTATCTATCTATCTATCTATCTATCTATCTATCTATCTATCTATCTATCTATCTATCTATCTATCTATCTATCTATCTATCTATCTATCTATCTATCTATCTATCTATCTATCTATCTATCTATCTATCTATCTATCTATCTATCTCTATAGGTGGATGATAAAATGAGACATGCAGTTGCACTCACCTGAAAAAGTATATATCTGTTCCTGCTCGTTTATGGGTTGCTATGAGAGAAACGATGGCGATCACACACTCATTCATAAAAACGCACCCGCGGTTCTCCAGCGCGCGCCGTAGACGGACGCACGCGTGCGCGCGCAGCATCCAGACGCGAGATCTAAAAATAGCGCATCGCGCAACAGAAGAGATGCAGTAGAATAACGCGTTACCCACACACTGACTGCTTCTCACATCACAATGCTGTCTTATATCACTCAAGAGATGCTGACAGTGAACATAGCATGATGCAATGAGTGTGTGACATGATCTTTTACACCATGAGCACTTAAGGACAACTATCTTTCTAATGCATAGGCTTTCAAAGATAAAATCTATAGCTAATTTTATTTTGCTTTATTTTAATTTTATTTAGATTATCAGCATCAGTTAAAGTTGAACTGTTGGGGGGAAAAGAATCCAATAGAAAAGAAAAATCACAAATTAGATATTTTTGTCTGATTTGTCTGTTATAGCCGTTGAACTTTGTCATTAAATCTTGCTGTGGGGTAAGATAATGTCCATGTTATTTGTCAACTATATGCTACCCATATATGCCTAATCATGACATCAAAGCATCATTACATTCAGCATGAGTGAGCAATTATTTAACGCAATCCAATTTTATCATCACAGGCTCATATGCAGAACAAGACTTATGTGTTGGCATCACATCAATTTCATGTGCATTACCCTGTGCATTCATCTCCTGCTTCTTCCTCGTCTATCTCTGTTCTTCTCACTTATGGCCATAAACATAAATAAGGTCCAAAGTTTATTTAGGATCATTCAGTGACGTCATGGCCCGCGTCAGCCGGTCTTTATCCTGTTGTGTGACAGATCATGGAGGAAACACATTAACATACTTACTATATAAAATGAAGACATATGATAGGCTCACCTGGAATCTGAAATGGAATAGAAATGTGAAGATTATTCTTCATTTGCCCTTCAGTAGCTAATATACCTCTGATGATGGTTCTTCATCACCCATGCCTGCAGTGTGACCCGAGCGGGGCTTTGAGCAACTGGAAACAGGTAATGCTAATGCAGCAAAAGCTGATTACAGTTTTTCTCCATTGGTTTGGCTCATTTCTTGAAACAGAAATTACATTCTCAAAACAACATGGACAAACCTCCAAACCACTTGGCAATTGTTCACAACAGAATTGAATTTCTCATTCATTTCATCAAATTGCAAATGTCTAAGTACATGTCTCAATGTCTCAGTACATCTTTGCAAATGATGAAGTACAGGTAGCCTATTTAGCACAATTTCCAAGTGAATAGATCTTGTTGATCTAAACTGATTGTCGATTCTCAGTCTAATGGTTGTTCGCTCCAAAACGTGTCAGCGTCATTTCATTGTATAAGTCATCACATGCACAATAGTCTGTTCAATTGTCAAAATTAGTCAAGAACATAATACCATGAATAAATCCCTTGGAACCTGGGATTACCAGGTGCTGTCCATGACTGTGAATGCTGCCAAACATGTATGTAAAGAGCTTAACCATGCAGGACCAGTACAATTTCTGAACATGGAGGCACCTGGCCAAGTAAATGAACAAGGGCAACTGCCTGCTCGAGGAAGAGGAGGAGGAGGAGGAAGAAGAAGAAGAAGAGGAAGAGGAGGAGGAGGAGTAGGAGGAGTAAGGGTGCGTGGTGGTGGAATAGGGGGAAGAGGCCGAGGAGCACGAAGACACCGTGGACGATAGAGTACGGTGGCCAGGAGAGGGAGGGTGAGGACAGCGACCAGTGAAGAACTCTCAGTTGTGAAACTCCAGCTTTATTTACAGCACTGTAGGCTGCATATCATTTTCATTTTCATTGTTTTTTGTTTGTGTGTTTATATTACAGTATATTATGCTGTATACATTTTCTTTTTACTCTGATGGAAGTTACTTTATGTGTGTGAATGATAATGGTTAAAATTTCCTTGGCAGTATGAGTGCAATGTGTGATGTCAAACCTTGGAGGCTACACTTACGTAAAATCCTATTTCTTTTTTTTTTCAGTTTTATACACAATTGTATTCTGTTAGACAAAAAACAGTATAGTAACCATTGTCAATAAAGGACTGGGCTAAGACTGAAAGGTGGACATGAGGAATATTTCAATGGTCCTCTGCCATAGTGACAAAACATCTAAACATTTTGACTTGCAGGGCTTACACAATGCCATAGGGACGAAGCATTTTGGGGGCACTGACTGTTTAAATGAGAAGGAAATTTAGTTTTGACACATGAGTGAACTGTTTTGGGAGAGGTATGAGCTTTTGCAGGTGAACCATGGTGTTGTGCTGAACTGTAAGACTGTTTTGCCAAATGATCTTAGAGTTTTGAGAATGTAATTTCTGTTTCAAGAAATGAGCCAAACCAATGGAGAAAAACTGTAATATTGAATATATTTATATAAAAAAATATATCAAGCTTTCACACGACGCGACCCATTACAAAGATGTGTCCAAAAACATTTTGCTTATGGTCCCATCAAGTTATTTCTTAATGTTCTCTGAACGTTCAAAATGTCCAGTTTTCAAACTTTTGGTTATACAACAAACATTAGGGGAACCTCTGCAAACATTATGGGAATGTTAGCCTACTTATGAATGTTTTCAAAACATTCTAAAACAAAAAAGTGCTAGGCTACATTCATTAATGATGTATACGTTTTTGTGCAAACGTTTTAAAAACATTATTAAAGAAAGACCAGATAACTTTACTTTACTGGAAGAATGTTTGGTCAGAAAAGCCAAAGTTCTGAGAGCATTCCCTGTTAGCTGGGGACATCCTTTATGTTTTAGCCATGTTTACAGATAATTGCCATTACTTCGGTGTAGTTCTTGACATATGCCATGTCAAAAGGAAGAAAGAAAATGCTTTTATTAAAGTTGTGCACTAGAACAGGGGTTCTCAAACATTTTGGAGCCAGGGACCCCTTACAGGGGAAAAACATTTCCAAGGACCCCCTCATATTTATAACAGTGACTGAGCCTAAAGTTAATGTGGGAGCGGTTAATTAAATATTTTGACACAAAGAGTCTCCACCCAGGGTCATATGCAGGGTTTTCTAAATAGCATACTGAGGTCCCAAAAGTGATCTTGCTAGGGGGGTTGGGGGGCATGCCCCCCCGAGGAATTTTAGATTTTCTTGATCTACACGTGCATTTTAAGGTGTTTTTTAAGGCCAAAAATTTTACTTTTATTCTTGATATACCCAGAAAGAATGGAAGTGCAATGTGACAACATGTCCCATAGGTGGGGCACATGGTAACATGACCATATGACAGATTAAAATGTTATCTGATCTAATCAAACAAATAAAATACAATTAACTTTTTCATATAAAATAATGGCATTTTAAAATAATTAAAAATAAACTAATTTTTGAGTTTGACAACGAACACACAGCTATATATTACAACATAGTTCAAAACATATTCATTGTAACGCAGTGTGACAACATGACCCACTTGCACAACTGGGATTTACGTTGTGCCCCGCTATCCCCTATATTTCCTTTCCCGGTTGATACTTTGTCTTTGCAAACTGATTGTTTCTGTCGTTCGTTTAAAACTTCTATCTAAAACAGCTGTTTAGTTTAGCGATTTACATCTTATCTCGCACTTTATGACCGAATAACTGAAGCGTCATGCGGAAATTCGCGCTCGGCTTGCAGCTTTCTGTGAACATAAACCCGCCTACTTTGATTTAATCTCCGACTCAAACATTTTGACATTGACGAGCGCTGTTAGTCTGCTGAAACCGCTCAGATGAGAAGGTCAGTTATCATCGCGATGTTTAATATCCTTGCAGCACCAAATTAGAGTTAATATTAGGCAATTATTTCACAACTTTCATTATACACATAGAAAAATTACAGAGGCCCGGACCTCAGGGACCTCAATTGTGGGTATACGACCCTGTCCCTATGCACAAATTTATAATTTACTGTATTTTCCAGAAAATAAGTTGCACCTGAGTGTGTAATACTTTGTTGCGCTCTTGAGGCGTAGTAGGCCTACTTCCCCTCACTCCACAGCAAATCCTTAAATTAATGGTATTCAGAACAAAACGAGAATGAAAAATTATACTATTAATAGATAATAATACAAATAATAATAATAATACTATACAGACAACATTTATTTAAAACATCAAGTCTAAACGAATTAAGTTGAATCGAAACTGAAACTGCAGACGTTGGGCTCGTGCATCTCTCATTCGGTCCAAAGTTTCCATATTTGCGATGTAGCCTAACATTTGGATGCTTAACTATTTATGTAAAGAAAGCTTCATGCTTCAGTCCCAATATAGGCCTAGGCCTACACGTATCAGCATCTTCACATGCGGAGAAATGAGATTGGAACAACAGCAAGTCGACAGTATATGATTGACCGTCACTGCCTTCATAGTGTAGCTACAACAGACAAATTAAATTAAGTAGAACTTTTTATAAGTTCGGTGAGTATTTTATTTTGATAATGAAGAGGTTTTGATGTCAAATTAGCAGTGCTAGAACTGACATATTGTGCGCGCACACGAGACGCCGGCGCGAACACTTGGATTTTTCCTCAGCAGTGGAAACAAAGGAATACTCTTATTTATAGTCATACAGATAAGAGTACATCATTCAAAACGGCAAAGTGTCTATTTTTTATTTGTGTATACATTAAAAATGACTACAAAATGTCATGCCTTTTAAAAATAAAGAACACAACAGGATGCGCGTTCTGCCGTCTCTGTCTCCTTTCTGGCGCACGTGCCCAAAAATCGATTAAAAAATCAAAAAAAATTATTATTTGACATTAAATGCATTATATAAGTCCCTTTGGAATAAATAGCAAGTTTTCAGATGCTAAAGAAAACATGACTTATAGTCGGGAAAAACGGTAGGCTGTTATAAATTATTTCGCGGACCCCCTGGCTATAGTTCACGGACCACCAGGGGTCCGCGGACCCCACTTTGAGAACCACTGCACTAGAACACTTTTAGAGTTTCTTTGTGTCACATGTTGAGAGCATTGAGTAGGTCAACTGAGCTGTATCGGTGCTGGTTCAGCAGAAGTGCGTTAAAAAGAAGAAGAAGAAGAAGAAAAATCAACAATACGAGGCACTTTACATTGTTACACA